GAAATCAGGGTATGTAAATCCACACTGGAGACCGGGGACCAACAGCGGGGACGCGTCAAAACCAGACATAGTGACATTATACAGTACTTCCGGTTAGGCTTTCCAGAATAAAAGACTTCTTGAGGGATTTACATTGAGACACTTTATTTCTGTGACAGAGACAACCGCAGTTTTATGTTCCGTTATGCCGATCTGTAGCTGGCTTGACAGAGCTCTGGGGAGGAGGGATGGAGGGATAAAGAGACCCTGGGATGGATAAATAGAGTTTTACAATGTAACTCATTCGATAATATAAAAATATTTTAACAAATTAAACTCTGTAATCACAGATTTCAAAGGCCTAAATGACCAGAATAAAAACAAATCCCCAGGAGAAGGAGACAGAGCATATCTTGCTGCTATCTATTAACATGCCACAACCTGGGGGACAGTGAGTAAACTAGTCTCTCTCTCTCACACACACACACACACACACACACACACACACACACACACACACACACACACACACACACAAACACACTGAAGAGAAGTAAATGCACTATTAGAGTAAAGGGGCAGTAGTTGGAAAGTAACTACATTAACTCATCTACTGTACAGTTATGAGGCACTTACATTTTATGCAACTTTCTACTCCACTTCATTCAAACAAAATTGTACTTTTTACTCCACTACATTTATCTGACAGCTTTAGTTACTAGTTACTTTGCAGGTTCAGTGCATGCATAGTGCATTGTTATGATTGAATAACCCAGTAGTGTGTATAGTAGTTAAAATAAGTTGCACCTTGACCTTGAGTAATAAGATTAAGATGCTTTGCACACCTTAATGCATCTTTATTAATAATAATAATAATAATAACAATAATAACAATAATATGATATGCACTATAACAATCTGAAAGGGCCATTGTTCATTATGAGTATTATGAGTACTGATACTTTAACTGCATTTTCTCGTAATACTTTTACGTATAGGTAACACTTCAAATACAGGAATTTTAAATGTCCTTTTTTACACTGGTATTCCTAGTTTTTTTACAGAAAGGATGTGAGTTCTTCTTCCACCACTGAAGAAGAGGAGTAGAAGTACAGTTTTCCCCTTTTTCCCCTGTAGGACTGGAGTACCTATCAATCCTATGTCCTATGGGTACTTGGCATGGGTTCACGTTTCCGTAATCTTATAGCTTTAAGTGGGCTTACACTATTTAGAATAAACGGAGGATTGTCTGATAACTTAAATCCACTTTTCTCTCATATGGATAAAAAGCAATGTGGACTAAAATGTAGTGCTGCTTCTGATATCTCATTACCTTCTCTTTAAAATAACACATCCTCAAAAACTTTGTTTTCCTCTCTACCGTTGTATCATGGCTCTGAGTTGTAGCCCCACTATTACCAGGGGGCTTTCTTCTTTGAATCTTTGAATATCAGTGTGACCTGCAGCTACTGAGGAGGCAGTTTCTCAACACAAGCTCCAATCCAGTTATGCAATCCTTTTCTTTTCCAGACCACACACACACACACACACACACACACACACACACACACACACACACACACACACACACACAATACACACACACCCACAAGGTGTAACTGTCCACCTAGAGACCAGACTGGCAAAACACAGGAAGCAGTCAACCCAACATTTAGACATCACTGCACTTTATTCTGACTTTTTCTTCATCGAGTTTCCGACAAAATGTCTGACTCCTATGATGTGGTTTGGACACACACACACACACACACACACACACACACACACACACACACACAACAAAGCAAGAGAGAAGTAGAGTTAAAGTGAGGGAGAGACAGGGTGAGAGTTGGGCAGGGTGGTGTGTGTTGCCAATGACCTCAGACAAGCAAGAGTATTAATAGCCACAGGGACAGCAGCCATCCCAAAGCTATTTCTGGCTATGGCATCACTCTGTATATGCCTGCGTGTGTGAGTTGACTGTAAAAGTGAGTGTGGTTTAACAATACGTCTGCATGCTGAGATTGTGGAAGTTTGCTGCAAGATGTCACATCATAATAAAACAACTTTGTCAGCAGTTCGTCTTAAAAATAACTAATTTTGCACAGTTTTTTTCTTTCACATCCTACCACAATTGTGTATTGCCATGGTGAGACTGGATGAACAACAACTTTGCTACTCTTTAAAGTTTGTGACTACAATACAGTGGCCATGAAAGGACTGCTTTAGGCTGCTGTATTGAAGCCACACTATCCTGTGTGGACATCTCAGAATCAGCTTTTCAGGCTCAACTTTACATCGTTTTACTTGGCTCAGCTTTCAACAGTCTAGGTTTACTTTCTCGAGCTCAGCAGTCATTTTCTGCAGTAGTCCTAGTCATAAAGGCAGCATGTTAGCATAACCTTTTGCACAATTTGTGTGTCACAGCATGGACGGTGCATTTTTCCAGTTTCTGACTTGTTGATATCAAATCAACCTCCATACAATAGGCTCATAATACTTTTAAATATCTTCATGTTAAAATATTATGTCATTTTGGAAAGTGAACTATCCATCAGAAAGGACATTTTTCAAAATTGCTTGACTATTTATAAACCAAAAGATTATTCAAGAAAATAATGATCAGATTCACTTGATCTAAAATTAATTATTAATTGTAGCCCTAATTTAAATTTGGATGCCTCAAATCAGCTAAAATCCATCATCCAAAATAGCTAGAAATAATATTAATTTGGTAAATGCACAACATTTTTGGCCTTACATAACCAAATCATACATCACTAGCTCAATATTATTGCACTGTTCTTTTAGTGTGTAAATTACACTTACAGTCAGCATCCATAGATGTTATACTAGAGGTAAGTGGGAACAGCATTGTGTACATACAAGATGATGTTTGTTTAAACATCTTTTGTTCAAACCCAGGTTAAGTCTTCTTTCAGGTGTTCTGATCACAGAAACTATTGTAGCATTATTATGCTCATATTTCAATAAAATCATCAATTATGGCTGCCCTATTATTATTATTTTTATTATTATAACTACTGCAAATGGATGCCCCTAAGGCCACTTCTCCTGTTGTACAATAGCTTTATGTGTGCACTTCATGCAGAGAAATGGAAAGGTAGTTTTGGTTGGATTTTTATTTGAAATTTTTATTTTTGTGTGTTTTTTTTTGGTTTTTAGTTTTTTTTTTATTTTGGAAGTTTGTTTTTGGGTTGGTTTTTTTTTTGTTTTTTTTTTTTTTTTTTATTTTTTAGATTTGTTTTGTTTTTTTTTTTTTTATTTTTTAAGTTTTTTTTTTTTTTTTTTTTTTTATATAAGTTAATAGTGTGTTAAAATTTGAAAATATTAATTTAAAATTTAGGTAATGTTCTTTTCTGTCATTTTATATAAACCCCCCCCCGTAACAGTCCGGGGACCCAGGCCTAAAAAAAAAGGGGAGGGGGATTGACAAACACACACACACACACACACACACACACACACACACACACACACACACACACACACTCTGTAAATGCATGCCTGTCACTTTCACACATAAACACACCTAAACACAAGAGAGACTTAAGACAAGCTTACTCTCTTTCTCTCTCCCTTCCTGTGTGTCCCTTTCTCCCTCACACACACACACACACACACACACACACACACACACACACACACACACACACACACACACACACACACACACACACACACACACACACACAACACACACACACAAACACACACACACTCAGGGGACTGGAACTCCATAATTACCAGGCAGTGGAGCCCACTAACCGCTAGCTGGCCCAGAGCGGTCATGTGATGGTGTGATCACTGGGGCCCAGTGTAGAGAAACATTTTCCCTCAGTGCAGATCCTGGGTCAGTTTTACTGTTTCATCACTGGTGGCTGAGGTTATGAAGAGGTTATTAAACCTATCCATAGGTTGTACTTAAGAGAAAATGTCATCCCAGAGCCGTGCAGTAATACAGTATGTGGCATTTCCCCCAAGTCTTGTCCAGATGTTTTTTTTATTTTATTTCATTTTCTTAGCCCTCACAGATTTTTAAATATACCATATCTTTCTAGAAACAGAACGTCTGTGCTGCCTTGATTTAGGATACTTTTACATTTTGATTGTAAAATTATAATCTTGGTTTTGTGTTTATATACTGTATTTTATCAAAGGCTTGTTGTCATTCCATATGTTTAAATTTGACCTAATTTATTCACACTTTGAGGACATTTTCCAGAGTCCATGTAGCAAATGAACACAACTTCACATATACAGGCTTGATGGTTGGCTGGATAAAAAATTATAGGGAATAGAATAAAAAAAAGACAAACTAAGAAAGAAATGAAGAAAAAGAACTGCAAAAACACAGTGAAATAAACCAGAGTATCTGATCTGGATGCAAATGCAGATTTAAAAAATGTATACTTTTATTAAATGTATATTTTTATTATACATATATATATATATATTACATTTTGGCAGAAGTATACAGTACTATAAGTTCTTCATACATATCTTCTATTTTATTGTTTAACTTGCAAGTGGGGGCTTCAGTCCACACAGAGGTGAAGGGATAGTAAATATAATATATTTGAACTTCAAAGTTAGATTTAAAAAAAAAGTGCATCAGAGCATACTAGACGTATGCCTGTAAATTGTCAGTAATATCTGAGATGTGAAACTGTTTGCAGAGGCAACAGGACACTGCACATATGTGCAACATTTTTGGGGTTGCATCCAGATTGTGTATAGTAAAACTTGAATATTAAGGTCTTTAAGACACTTCACTACATTGAAAGTTACAAATACTCACAAAATTCAGATGCACAAAACTAGAAGAGATGGGCATATAAATCCTTAAAATTATTATAAATTTTTTGTAAAATCATTATTAGGGATTTTCTTATTTTATCTGGGGGGGTCTCTTCACTAGGATGCAAACGAAGAGGGGTCTTACCATCAATTAGGAAGCTCAGTGGCTCAAAAGAGGACAAGAAAAAAGGAGACAGGAGAACATTTGAAATCATTTTTATTGCTACCTCAGAGATGACACAGTATGGGTCCAAGAATCATTTTAGTACATCATTGCAGATAAAGATGAGAAACCCAGAAAAAGTAGCATTGTCAAGGCAAAGCTTTGGGGTTGTTGTGCGTTGTTAAGGTAGTACTCAGCTACCTTTTTGTTGGGGTTTGTCCCATTGAACCAGAGCTGCATGCAGCGGCCTGAGGTTTTGGAGTAGGTGGTATAAAGGTAGGATTTGGACCAGATTTCTTCACACATGGACATGGGTGTGGGATAAACGTCGGTCCACTTTCTGCACTTGCTGTTTGCAGGACATTTGTTAACACCTGTAGGTGAGCAAGGGATTAGATTAGATTCCACATCACACCCACAACTATTTCTCACTAGTTTAACAGTAAAATGTGAGATCTCTGTATGTGTTTAAGAGCGAGTGCATGGTATTGTTAGTCTAAGACAAGTGTGCAAAGAAATGTGAGTAAAGTCTGTATTCATCTACTGGTCTGTGTGTACATGCATATGTGTGTGTCTGTGTGTGTGCGTGTGTGTGTTTTTGTACTTACCTGAGCTCCAGTCCCATCCTGTGTGCCAATTAGTCTTGCAGGTGTAATCATTCTTGCAATCTTCCCACCAACTGTGGCAGTCCTCCTTACACAGAGGCACATCCAAGATACGCTCCTTACGCCAGCTCTGATCCACCTGCACACACGATTGACTAGTTTGTATGATATAAATAATAATAAGTTCCGAACACCGGTGATATATTTCTAGAAGGAAACTCCTTGTACAATGTTATGACCTATTAAGTGAGTTATAAAGGTCTCTACAAACTAAACTGGGGACCATTACAAAGTCTCTCTTTATCAAATGTAATTAGCTGGTTATGTTTTTATTACTATAATACAGTGAATCTTTTTATCATTCAGAAAACTAACTAAGTGACATATGTTATGGATATTTCAGATTATATTCAATGCATAACAATAACAGCAAAGAACAACTGATCTAAACTTAAAATAATAATAATAATAATAATAATAATAATAATAATAATAATAATAATAATGTGGTTGTCTTCACAGAAATTAATGAAATGCTGAATTAAAGGCTGGTCCCGACCCCCAGACAACCACTGCTATAATGGCATAAAATAATGGCGACAGGCTGTATATGTTGGTTTACCTATCCCGACAAGCCCTTTCAGTCCTTTCAACTTTATATGCTGCCATCTAGTGTTGTAAGTACACACATACAAGAGAGACTGAGAGCACAAATGCACAATACACACTTTTTGTATCCAAGGTCCCAAGTGTGGTGAGCACTCGTAGAAGCAAGTGTCCTGGATGAAATGTCTCTTGCACTCAGGGCTCATGGCACCACAGTGATTCCAGTTGAAGTTGTACAGATAGGAGTTATCCTCGTGGGCTTCTGTGCTGGTGTTGGCTGTACAACATGCATTGTCACGCCACGGAGCACACTGGGAAGAGGAGAGAGGGGTCGCTTAATGGTGTTGGACCAAAAACATTTTTTTTCAGCCCTGTGTCTGGATCAACTGGGGCAACAAACTTTCCATGAAAAAAAACACATGACACCCATTTGATTCTCCCAGCATCCCGCCATTTGTTTCATCTTTGCTGTGTAGAAACATTTGCATTCATCACCTGAAGGTAGAGTTGTCCCTCAGGGCCAGGATTTACTTTGTGGTGTTTGGCGTCCATACACATGTTGAGTTTGTCCAGAGACAGAGCACCACTGGAGAGGGCTAGCAGCAAAACCAGGACAACCCACATGGCTCTGCAGCAGGGAGGCATTAACATATATCAGTGGGAGGTTCTTGATAGGACAGCCAACATACAGTACCAGTTCAAAGTTAAGCCTTTGTCATGGGGATGCCCTGTAAACTCTAATATGAGTAACATACATGCACATACAGCACTTTGTCTACCTCAGTCACTTTTATACCATCTTGCCAGCAGGTAATAATTACTGAATACTGTTTGGTAATAAGCACAGATATCATAGTTTAATATCTTTATTTAATCATTGTGCTTGTTAACTTCACTTAACCAACCAATGGTTTTGTACCCAAGAACTTCCAAACCATATCCAGCCTATTTTTCTATTATGGTCAAGTTTCTGGGGCAGTACACCAAATGTGGTATTTTTTGGAGTAGGAATGGAAAACATGCTGATTTTGAGAAGTTTTTGTCGACATTTCCTTTTTGTAACATATTAAGAAAGGTTAACTTATAATATCCATTGAGTATAAATCACTGATAATAACTAATTTATTTGGTTATTGTCATTTTCTGAAGCTGATCAGCACTGTAAATAAGCTGCACTAAGCTGTCCAAAAAGGACCACAGTGAGTTATTTGTTTGGCCTCACCTTTCAATAAACCTTACTACTAATAAGATTGGAGTGCATGGGTTCTGCCTTTGCGATATCAACTGTCAAGTGTTCAAATTTTGCTGGATTGGGCTACTGATGTTTAATAAGTTAAAGTCAGTCTCTGCCAGAATGTACATTTCCATGGAGGTTATGAGTAATGAGTATAAGTTTGCTGGCCCTTCCTTATTCATGAAAATTACAATCTGAAGTACAACACAAAACACAACATACAATCTGATAGAAAGGTTAAGTTAAAAATAACTCAAAAATGATAATCACATAAAAAAGTGGCAATTCGGAGATAAGCGTCACATAAACTGATTACATTTGTCTTTCTGATTTATAGGAAAATTTGGTCTATTTAAGAATTCCAAACTTTTTCAATATTTGTGTTCATTTCCAAGTATTTCCAGAACCATATATAATGTACAAATATCACAAACACCAGTGTCCATTAAGCCTTGACAGAATATCTTATGGGCACGGCTTATTGAGGTTGTGACATGACACACTGGAGCACTATGTAATCTCTACATCAAATTACATCATATCAACAACAAAAAATCTGATTGTTTTCACTTCATTGTAAATGTATTTCTTCCCCCTGTCTTATCGTTCTTTATTAAGCTTTTAAATTATCACAAATTGGAAAAATTAGGTAACAACGCTAACAAATAAACAATTTACACCAGCGCTCCTGAACCCGCAAAAAAACACAATAGAAATAAACGCAGTGAATAAAACAGAAATACTTCAAGGACTTGAAGAAACTGAATCTAACACGACAAACTAAATGCATGATTTAGGGAAAATAACAACTACTATATGTGTCAACTCATCTAAAGACTAATGAGAAGATTTCTACAAGAAATGGTGAACAGATTCACTTTACCTTGGTAGATTCTGCGATGGTTCACTCCTGAAATGATTTTCCTACGAGTCAGTATCTCCAGTCACCTCCTACACACCTCTGTAGACCAAACAAACCAAACTCACATCTGTGCAAACATGTGCGTGTGAATGGAGTGTGACTGAAAATATGGTTGCCCCTAATGCAAGTTACAGCTCAATTAATATGTATCCAATGTCCAAAGTCTGCTTGTGTGTGTGTGTGTGTGTGTGTGTGTGTGTGTGTGTGTGTGTGTGTGTGTGTGTGTGTGTGTGTGTGTGTGTGTGTGTGTGTGTGTGTGTGTGTGTGTGTGTGTGTGTGTGTGTGTGTTAGTGTTTGAGATAGACAGAAAGAACGAGAAAGAGGCAGTGTGTGTGCGATAATCTTTTTTATTATGTCTCACTGTGGGGAAGGTTTTTCTTATCTCAAGGCCTTCCCTGCTCTTTCTCTCACTCACACACACACACACACACACACACACACACACAGATGGACATGTGGTGAAATGGCAGTGTGACCTGGGAGGCCAATAACAAGAGTAAAATGGTGGTAGTTAAGATAAGTTTCTGTTGCATCTGTATTGGTGGTCTCATGATTCAACTTAAACTTTAAACACTACAAGCACGTAAAACTGGATGGTTAATTACGAATGTAAGTGTGTGTGTGTGTGTGTGTGTGTGTGTGTGTGTGTGTGTGTGTGTGTGTGGAACCTGTGTCTCACAAGCAGTTATAAGAGGGTTTAAAAGCATTTCAAAGTGAAAGCTTTCACAGAGTTCAGCAGTTTGTAGCAGTTACAATCTTATGACTGTGTATCAAAATGAAAAGCCTCTGAGCTCTGTGAATGTACACCTTGAACAATTCCATAAGTGTTTCATAGTGAAGGGCAGTAACACATTTCAGTGAAGGCGATAACACATTTTACAGTGAAGGGCACAGTTCCGTGAGAGGAAGACTTCTTTTTCAATCTGCATCTCACGATAGCGCGATGGCAGTCTACTCTCCTCTGCAAAAGTGTATTAAATTTAGATAAATCAACAAAATAATAATAAAACTATGAAAATAAGGTAATAAATACAGTGCATGACATTAAATACATTGGATGCAATGCTTCACTTTCACTGGGTTATCCTTCAAAGACAGTAAACAGAGGGGAAACGATGATGTGTGTCAACCCTGTGAAACCATGTTGCTCTGAAAAGTAAAAGTAAGGTTGATTTCAAGCTAATTTGTTCATTGTTAAAAGAGTCGTTAGAAATTCCCTACAGACTATGTGAAAAAATCATTTACAGTGCAATTAATACAGACAAACTATACTCTTATAAGTACACAAATAAGGCTCACAGATGAAAGGAAACTCCTTTGTAATAGACAATATCTCTGATATCAACAGGTGTCCCTCGCTGTTATTGAGATATTTATAATTTATCCTTTATATAGATTTATTTATCTATGTGACTGAATACATCAGGACAGATTCGTATTACTTTATAGAATATTTACATCGCTATCAACATGCTAGTTAAGCACATTAATGTTTTTGCTTCACTTTCCTGGCTCTACTACTACTCCTCACAAGCGGAACCTTTGTGCGGTGACACTGAAGAAGAGGACACCGGAAATATCTATAGGTGAACACCAAGGGCTTCCGCTTAAATTTATTTTGAAAAGATTTGAAAGCTGGAGCGAGAGATTGGCAGGTACTTACTCTATTTATAATTTCGCTGTGCATTACACGTAAAATATTACATTATATTGCGTTGTTTTTTTTTTTTTTACCAATATCACTCCCGGTGGGGACAGTTTAAGAGTTTGTATGTCAGAAAACAGGAGGACTTTAATCGTATTTTAACGATGTAATCTGACTCCTCACCGTGTTCAATAGTGTTTATGTTACATTGGCTGACACATACCTTACGGTGCCGTTTCTTACGTGGGAACCGGGGTTTTACCGTTTTGTTTTTGCGGGTAAAAACTCCTCATAGACTAAATATAGCCTCGCTGGTTGACACTGTGTTTGTTTTTTGTTTGTTTGTTTGTTTGTTTGTTTGTTGTCCCCTGTGACAGACATGTCCACGCTCTTCCCCTCTCTCTTCCCCCGGATAACGGAGTCCCTGTGGTTTAACTTGGACCGACCCTGTGTGGACGAGACCGAGCTGTTCCAGCAGGAGCAGCAGCACCACACCTGGGTAAACCCGGTCTTAAGATCTGGAGATGGACTGTATTGATCCCACATTGGGGAAATCCACTCACTACAGCAGCTCCAGATGCAACAAATACAACAAATAACAACACATAAGAAAATACACATTAACTAAAGATATAACAGGAAAAAAAACAAGGTATAATGAACAGAGATTAAGAATTGTTTGTACACTATATGCAGCTTTTTACAGCTTCTTCTTCCTCTCTTTATGCTCATAGTCTAATATGTGCGCTCTGTCCGTCTCTGTCTCAGCTGCAGAGCATCGCTGAGAAAGACAGCAACCTGATGCCCATTGGGAAACCTATTTTTGAGGTAGTGTGTTTTAAGATATAATCAACAGACCATGCCACGGTGTGAAACACACATGGTACATAGTTTCCTCCTCCATTGCTTATGTCATCTGCCTTTACTGTGGCGCAGGCAGGATATAATGATGAAGAGGAAGAGGAGGATGATGAGGATGAGGAGGACAGCGAGGAGGACTCTGAAGATGAAGAAGACATGCAGGACATGGATGAGATGAATGACTACAACGAGTCACCTGATGACGGCGAGATCAATGAGGTGCTTTAATGTATGAGTTGTAGAAAAATCCTTTTCCATGCCAGTACAGTGAATGACTGAGGCCAGCTGCAGTGTAACATTAATGCCGTTAACCCTGACTTGGATCAAACTGTTATTAAATATCTAAAATACACTGTTTCCTTTTTAGCTTCCTTTCCTCTCCCCAAACAGAAAAATAACAACTTGTACTCTGTTCTGTTCTGTCAGGTGGACATGGAGGGACCAGACCAAGACCAAGACCAGTGGATGATTTAAGACAAAAAGACAATGTTAGTCTCCTTGAAGCTGTCTGGCACTGGATGTCTACTCCCTACTAAAAACATGACTGCTGCCTCTTCAGTCTGGGACACAGATATATATTTTTATTTGTGTAAAGAGGGGAAAGAATACCGTTAAATGAAAAGCTCGTACCATGATATCCTTCAGAGGTAGGTTGGATAAATCATAAGAGTCTCCTGCCAAGCTGCAGTTGACTTTGGAGGCTTTGGGCGTCGTTGGACATCCCTGTAAGTGTTGCTACCTGGTACACGTCCACATTGTTATAATACTAACATGGATGTGTGTTTTAGCTGCTGTGTTCATGTCTTGTTGTTTCTCTTCTTTTAGTGGCAATGTGTGAACCTGTCTCTCTCTCACACACACACACACACACACACACACACACACACACCGGTCCTAATGTTTTATGACCCCTCAGGCACACACACACATAATGGCAGCAGTAGGCATCGGCCCAATAATCTCTGATTTAAACTTTGACCTTGTCATATGTTCAGTCATGTGCCACTTCTCAGTGTCTGGAAACAGCTGACTGAGCGTTCTGTCACAGAACAGTTCAGTCAGCTAAATAATTTGTTACGTATCTTACACATGCTTCAACCTATAGTACAGTTCTGTTTCATAGCAGTCTCGGGTCCGCTGCTCATCTTTTGATACAGATATCAGAAATTTCCTAAAAGCTTGTGAAATTATATTATGTTTAGACAATGCATCAGTTTTTTGTTTTGTTTTTTTTAACTATGTTAAAGGTAAAAGCTGCCATTACCACTGAAGAATGAATGAAGAAATATGAACACACACAGTGTCCATGTGTATCTGAACCTACAAAGACTTTAATTATTTGTACTGAAATTAACAGAAGACTCAACTATTTGTATTAAATTAAATTCTTTTGATGAAACCATGTTTTTTTGTTCTGTTTTCTACATTTTATTTTCTTGTTGATGAAAACATAAAGTGGAACATGGTAGTGAAGGGTGTGTGATGGATTTAGGTTGTCTTACTGTTAAGTGAGTTATAAAATTAAAGTCCAGTACTCATAAAGGGTCATTTGAATGTGGTGCCGGTAAAGTTTATGATTTGGGTGGTGCCATGATTCATTTTATGTAATCCAGCATTTAATATCACAAAATATTTCAACAGGTTATGGTTTCATACAGCTGTTTAGAGTACTTGTACATGAAGGACATTTATTTTAAACTCACCAAAAATGACACTCAGCATACTTTGCACAACACATTTAATGAATTTGCTCGTGTGTTTTTGTTTTTTTTTAAATTTAGCATTTATTTTTAAATGAACAAGCTATATTTTGACAACTGTCTCCTGATATTTCTGCTTTCAGTAAAAAGCTGACAGAAGAAAATGATGGGGTGGTGACAAAGGGCAAAGATCCCCAGTAGTCACCACAGGGGAATGTAACTTTTTAGCGAACAATTTACAGTTATCTTATCACAATTCTCTTGAAAAACAGTTTAAACAGGGGTTATACTAAAATCAATTTATCCCTTGTCACTCCTAAAACGTGTATCTGTGCCGTAGTGTGTGATATCCCAGTCTGCATGATGTCTACTTGATTCCAAGGTACACCAGCTCAGCCATCCCGTCCCTGATGCCTTTGCTGTACTCCAGTGTGGCCCGGTGGACCTTCCACTCATACAGGCCGCTCTTGCGAATGTGTCTGAGGAACTTTGGAGCCCCTGGGAACAGCACATTGTCTGCCACGATCATTGACCCTTTTCCCAGCAGACCAGAGCCCTCCAGCATCTGTTATACATAGAGAGGCAGTGTCATGTAACTGAGGGAGTGGACCATTGACAGTACATATATATATATATATATAGACACACACAAGTAGTTTCCATACACAAATTATTCATATTTACTTCCAACCGGCCATCTGACAGAGAGGACAATAAACTATCAAACATTTTAATTCACATGTAATTATCCTTTTTTAATGATTCATTATAGTCACCTGCAGATCAGGGGCGTAGCATTTCTTCCAGTGGTCCATGAAGACAAAATCCAGCCTTTCCAAACCATAGTCCGACCTTAGCCGAGGGATCACCTCATCAGATGGATTCACAATGAGCTCCACCTGGAGAACACAGCATGGATATCTCAAAGGTTTAATACTGTTCATATTCAATACATGAAATACAAATGTCACATATTTATGTACAAACAAATAATGCTGATGGCCTGTATGTAGGTAATTTGGGGCTTTTATCCAAAGGCACTGAGTGGGTACATGTCTCTGCTCTCTCACCGTGTCATCATCAAACCCTGCCAGGCGGATGATTTTCTCAGCAATGGCAGCATTCCTCTGGTCCATCTCAATGCTGTAGAGCCTGGCACCCAGGGGCAGAGCCCGGGCGATGCGCACAGTGCTGTATCCGCAGTGGGCACCCAGCTCCAGAACTGTGAGAGGGCTCTGCTCCATCAGCAGCCGGTCCAGGATCTTCCCTACACACAGAGGAACCACACATGTAAAAACCAAGCTCATAACCAGATCAACTGTTGTTTAAGGGTCTCCTCACCTTTTTTAGGCCCAATATTGCTGATGAACTCCACCTTGCTGCACCAGATATCGAAGGCTTCCAGGATGCTGTCAGGGTCTCCGGGGATGGCATGAGTGAGAACATACTGGTAGGCGCGCTCCTCTCGGCTCAGACCAGTAACACAGTCCTTCCATGACCTGACCAGGACCGCCCGATAGAACAGCACAAAGTAGAAGCGGTACCTGATAATCAATGTCAGCAGGAGGGGAAGGAATGCCAGAGCAATAGCAGGAGACACCATCCTGGCTCATTTAGAGAAAAACAACACAAACACAAACACACACACACACACAAGTAGATATTAGTCACTTATTTTAGTAGAACTTACAAGATATATTCATCTCTCTCCCTACTCTTTTCTTACATTTACGGACTTGACAATGGCATACTGTACTTAATCTAATTGTGCTGTGGTGTACGAAAGCAACTGAAAGCAATTGTTGGAAACTGGGATTTTGTCATTATGTACTTGTACTCTTTCTTGAAAGGGGGTGACAGATGGGGAACATGGTCCCTCCATTTTGTCATGTGTATCAATAAAAGTGGGATGTTGTTATACTCATCATCACACTCCCATTCTGCCTTCAGCTTTTGAGATGTTCAGGTGTAGTAAGATCCTTAAGTATTTAGTCCCCAACCCTGCTCTAACCTTTCATCAAGACCTTTCAGCCAACCGCTCCTGATACTCGAGTCAGTTACGGTTTGTAATTATCATAGGCACAAAGTACCATTCTGTATTAAAAGTGCAACAAAGTTTGTATTGAAGGTGTCCACTGCAATAAGATCATTTATGATTTCAGCAAAACATCCTTGTGAGCAAATTAATTGAACTCTCTCAAGGCTCTGTAACTATGGTGCTTCTATAATGTTACATGTTAAAGGATAAATGCCATGAATTAATTATGGCAAAGCTAAAGAAAGATCACTGACAAAAGAAGAAAAAGTATACATCAAGGTAAGATACATTTGGGAATACTAAAAGACACTAAAACAATAGTGACCATTTTATTAATGAAATACCTGAAATGACAAAATTCCACATAGATTAAACACATTTTAAATATGTTTTGAATTAAGCTAGATGAGCTCTACACATTTCATGCTTTAGTCCTGTGGTAGATATGAGAGAAAGTGCTGTCACTATCTAGATGTTTCTCCTGCCTTAGGTAACAGTAGACTCCACAGGCTTTCTCCACCACACACACACACAACAGATGGTATAACAAAATATCTGCATCAAAATGAAGTCTCTCTTACTGTCCCATAAAAAAACAGACATACTCACCTATTTCCTAAAAAGTTTGGTGAAGGCAGAGCAGCAGCAGCAGAAGCAGCACTGGTGACAACGAACATGAAAGTGGCACTACAGCTGAGACCAGTGCAAAAAGACGGAGTGTGTGTGTGTGTTTAAGAGAAGGTAAGAGACCCAGAGCTTTGAATAATTCATGTATCACCTGCATGACAGTATATATCCCGTAATTATTTTCAATTAACAGACACGGACAGTAACAACTCCACACATCAGTTTTTGTCATTAGTAATCGGTCGCACAGATAACCTCTTGTCTAGATATTTACAATAGGACAGATACTGTGACAGAAGCAGAGAGAGTGAGATAGAGAGAGGCAGCGTGAAACGGACATTCGATGTATCAAGTTAACATCAACAGGTGTGTGTCTGTGTGGAATCAAATTTCTTTTCTTTACTGAGTCATGATGGAAAGACACACACAAAAAAGCTAATGCATGGAATATCAACTGATGTAACTCGACACAATTTAAATACAGTATTTAAAAAAACAGATGGAAATGATTTATTGTGCACATCACAGTTCTTTCTTTTCAGTGTGTCTTGAGTGTAGCTTCCTAACAGGTGATTATTGTTGTCCTGTCATCCTGTTTTCACTTATCAAACTACTGTGAAACAGAATGGTAAAAAATAAAAGATATACGTGCAGGTCTATTATATTTATGTATGTTTGCTCAATGAGTATAAAAGTATTATGATGTTGATATAATATAGATAGTATAATAAAAAGATTTTATCATTACAGAAATAACAACAATTACACTGCTTTAGCCCAAATATGTGTCAATAAAATAAACGTGCTGAGATCAGCTGAAAACCCTGCAATCATTACCAAAACTACACTTTGATCCTATATGCACAAATATTGCACCAGTTGGAATTATATCAACATTTGCATGCCATGTGTAGTACTAACTTTTTTGTAACAATGCCTTACCATCACTGCCTGTGTGAGATTTACAATAAGACACACAAAGTTTTGTCATTAATGAACTAATAATGAATTCACTGTTGTCCGTTTGGTCAAATAATACTTACAAGAGGGGACACAAACATGATGAGTAAAGTAATCCTGATGTAAAGATCGTAAGAACTCGATGCACTGCTTTACTTGACGGGTCACTTAGAAAGGGAGACTTGACTGGTTATTGATTATTGCTCTTCAGGAACAATTCATCAAGGAAGTGACCAGTATGCAGATATACACATATCTACTAAACCTTAAACACTTGTCCCTTTACATAGTATCTAACAATCTGTACTCTTGTGATTTATTAAGCGTTATTTGGGAACTATTTATTAGCTGAAAAAAAAATCTGTTTTACACTCATTTTTTTGGTAACTGCTCTGGATTTTATGTACATGACTGTAAAGTGTTGCATGTGAACAGAAACTTCCATGGGACAGTACAGCAGTGGTTGATAGCTCCCTGTCTACAGCTCTGGACAGGACTGTTTAAGGAGAGCTCTGATGAACTTCTTCAGCTCTTTGTCCCTTCTGGTCCACCTCACCAGTCGAGTCAGCACCAGTCTTCCCTCTTCGGCCTGAGCCAGGGCCAGGTACCATTCACCCTGGGCCCTGTTTCCTTCCTTTCCTCCTTCTTTTGCTTGTCCCTTTTCCATTTGTACCTCCTCTATTCCCCTCTCTGCATTTGTCTCTGCGTAGTCTAAGCCAGGACAGGTACAGGTGCCTCCTTCTTGCAGCCACAAAGCGCTGTGGGCCATTGCGCCTCCAATGCCTTCGGCCCTCTCCGCGCCTCCCCCTGCCCACCTCAGAATACGGCTGCGGGCCGTAGGCACCAGCTGACGGTCCCCTCCCACTGTCGACACACTGCCCAGACGCATCTTAAATGCTGCGACAAAGAGAAAACTCTGTAACAGGAGCCATTTCAGATATTTTGTCAAACAACCTCTCTATCTCCATGATTATATAATCTGTTCTGTGGCCTGTTTTATATTGGAGTATTTATACAGAGATTTATGCTGTTCTGCTTATTTCTCAAAAGGAAAAGGGATCTATTTTGTAACCTACATTATCTAAATCACTTTGTTCTCACCGTATGAGCTGTGGCAGAAGTTTTCCTGGATGTCAGTCTCTCCTTCAGCAGCCAGACTACAGACATCACAGACAACACTCCCAGGGGGATGGAAGAGAAAAGGGATTAGATGAGTGTCTGCAATGGGGAAGTAGAAAAAAACATCATAAACATTGGGGGGCCTGATAAAGGCCTCCAAAACAACTTTAAGATAATATTTGACAACATAAAACTTTAAATGTAATAAAACGATATAATTTTCAAAAGCTATACATCGCAATATCTTAGGTCACTGGTTCTCATACTCTGGTACACATACCACTGGTAGCACACAAACTCTCTTACACTACTCTATTTTAATGTTGGTCATAATGGTGGTAGCCTACTTGGAGAGCCTAAACATTTCAGCGGTGGTAAGTGGTGTGACAAAGGTTGAGAAACACTGTATAGGATTTGTATGACAGCCTGACTTAATTATTCACTGTTGATAGACAGTATAGATCAGTGACATTGAGAACTTGTCTGATAGACCTTTTAGTTTTTTTTAACAGAAACTGATAACATAAAGCGGTGGCTCTCAACCTGGGGGTCACTAAAGCTTCATGGGGGTCGCAAGGCCTTCTTTATTTTAAGGTGTGTAGGAATAATCTTAAAAAAGATACACAGTAGGCCTTTATCACAGCATTTCATTTGCTTCAATGAAGAAAAGTAAATGTAAATTGTCTAATAGAACAAACTGTCAAGGACAAGAACGTTGAATTTGTCAAAAAATAAGTCTATTAAGTGTGTGTGATTGTTAAAAATTATTAAAAATATACATAATATAGAGAGAGAATTGTATAAAAAGTTCCCTAAACAGGAAATAATTTGCTCAAAATTCATCCACAAACTATTACACAAACTTTACTGAGTTTACTATTTGACTTCATTGTACAGTTTTTGCTATAATATGAAATATCCATAAAATATGTCACTTAGTTACTAAATGATAAAGGGGTCCCTTAAGGAAAAAGGTTGGGAACTTCTAGCATAAACGATCCCTTAAATTTGGTCATTAAAGAAAATTTGGTGACCTACATAATGGAGAAGCTTTCCAAATTAACTTAAACATGTCTGCTACATACTGACATTTTTATTAGTTATTGGTAGAAATAAGTGCTACTGATATGTTTGTGATCAGCAAGTTGGCCAATGATATCAGCACTTTGATATCAGTCAGACTGTAATTCTTTAATAAAGCTATGGTATAAAACAGACTATATAGAAAATGTTCCTGACTACGCAAGCGTATCGCAGTCATTCAAACTACTCGGCTCTGTGTTTCTGAATTAACGACTTACTATGTCATAATTATGAGATAATGCCTGACCTCCTCCGCCGTCCGCACCTCGTGCTCTCCGGTTGCCGGGATACAGAGCTCGGTCCCGCGCGGGAACCGGGTGCAGTTGAACATCTCTGGTTGGGGTAACCCCAACGTGCTCATCACGGGCCCGGCCTCGTACCGGCTCCTGCAGGGACTGACCGGCCCGCTGAGCTCCGGCAGACACACCGGAGCCAACAACAGCGAGCACAGCCGAGGAGCTGAACCCGGGCGACGGCGGCCCGAGCTGGGCAGCAGACACGGTGTCAGAGGCATGAGAAACTCCAAACAGCAAAACAAAGCAGAGCACAGAGACAAACATTGTTGTTTTTGTTTCAGCGAGGACAGAAGGGAGTCTACAACGCTGCTGCTGCACCTCCTCTGCCTGGACTTGACCGGCCTGAAGGTGTAAACGAAGAGGTGTGGAGGGAAAGGGGGGTTAATGAGAGGGGCAGGCGCCTCCCAGTCATCATCCCACCCCGTCAGACACAGTGTTTCTTCAGGTTGGCATTCATGCTATAAACTGCAAGACACAGAGCAGAGAAAGTGAACTATTGAGGTGAAGAACATCGTTATTTTACTTTGTGTGAGGCCAGACTTAAACACATATTCAGTACATACAATTCATGTTTTCATGAGTCATTATAATCTTTCTACATACTCTCAAATACTCACTCTGCATGAACATTGGTGCTTAAAGTTGTTTGTAAAATCAAGGAAATATACAAACTGATATATAAACTTTTAGGATTTCATAAGACTCAAGGATTTAAACACATGTTTTTGTTTTTGTTTTAACTTTTGGTGAATTAGACCAGACTAAGAGCACAAAGCATCTCTGTCCCCAGAGTAGTTATTCACTCTAATCTGAATCCACTTCTGTGCACATGTCTACATTTGAAGTTGTAATTTACGTTTTACGAGTCACACATTCTGCAGAGAGTATAAGTATGCTTTGTTAAAGCCTTTTCCCTTTTCCTCTTTTTAGTAGGCTATATTTAAGTTGTATAAATATAAACTAATTCAGCAAAAAAATCACTAATAACTTCAATCAGCAGTTTTTTAAGTTTTGAAAAGGGGAGAAATATGTATATAATATTTTGTACAGTTGTCTGTAAAGATTCATTGTTTTTGAAAAAAATTGATACAGAAATTTTGATGTAATTACTAATTATTAATTGTAAAAGCAGTGAGAACGGGATGTTGTGTAATGCGGTGTATGAAGAACTTATTAACTGTCTGTATTGTGAAATGAGGTCCTGGAAAATAAAATGTAACTGCAGTGTGTCAGAGGAGTAGTGTGTGTGGTTCTCTGGCACAATCAGCCAGAGGGTGTTGAAGACCCTTTCATCTTTTTCCAGGTAGAAACATGCCTCATCCTGTTCCTTTCTCCGGCTGCTGTCTATTTGATTTTACTCAGTAGTCGCCTATTATGAATTAAGACAGCTGAAAACATTAGCTAATATTTTCACTAACCCTAACCCTTCTTTTAGAGAAAAAGAGAGACACAACCACTGCTTTGGCAGCTGGAATTAGCACTTCATTAAACAACATGTCACATGAATTTTCTGAGTAAGTAATGCATTTTATATTTATTTCAGGATAATATAAATAGTTTAACAACAACTATACTGAGTATGACCGATATCAAAACACTTGCACACACAATGCATCAGTATTCGCTCTACAAGCATGGCTGAACTGACCTCTTGGAGGGTCTTGGGGCAGAAATTTGCTGTTGGACCCCTATTACCCACCCACCTACTGCCCTGTGTAAACTGTGTATGTATGTACCGTGTCATGTCCAAGTTCCCATAGCGTACAGTGCACACAAAGTTAATTTGTGGTAGTTGTAAACACTTAGACTTGCAGTTTACATTGTGCTGGTGCAGAGCACATATTTCCTTCTTTAATACCCCAAAACCATTAATTTGTATTTTAGCCTCATCCACAAGGGACGATTTAATTATTTCAACGTAATCTAAGTATGTAGTTTTGCTTTAGTATTGGCTGCTCGTGCTTTATTAACGTGTCTTTGTTTTTCTTTCACAAAAACTCACGTTTGAAAACTCCTCCGTCACGTGACGAAGGCCACGGCGGCTTCTCAAACACCGGAAGTGGTCGCCGTGTTGTCGCACCAGAGCTGCTGTCATGTGATAGCTCGTCCGAGGAGCTGCTGTTGACAGTAGCTTCCCACCTTTAGATGAAGCTCAAGTAAAAACCACGAAGGAGAGAAGTTGTATGTGCGCTGTAGACGATAAACACGGCTCATTTGTGTCGGAGCAGAGGGACGTCGGGGTTGTGTAGTGTCGCCCCTCGGTCGTTGTCATGGGTTGTTGTTATAGCAGCGAGAACGAGACCACAGAGCAGGTTGGTTAGCTGCTAGCCAGCTGAAACTGTCCCGATACATGTCATGTTTTTATTTAGTTAGAAAGAAACAACTTACGTGGTGTTGATTTATGTATCTAGGGGGAGGGGGGAGGGGGAGGGGGAGGTTTATACGTAAGATGTTGTTGAGTAATGTGTGCCGACGCTACCAGGTGAAAATGGAGTAGGTTTACATTTAAAGCGACTCTCAGGAAAGCAGCTTTAGCTTGCTAGCTTTAAGCCTTCGGGAAAGGCCTGGCCCACACTGTGAAGTTAGCTCTTAAGATGAGAAATGATCGTAGATGATTAGAGAGGTGCAGATTTGATGCCAAAGAAACCCGGTTTGAAGAAAAGAAAAAAAAAAAAAAGATTAAGGGTCATTTATGGTTTCGTTACTGTCTTTTCCTGCAAGTAAATAGTTTTAAAGCAACACGTAAAGAACTGGATTCCCTTTAAATAACTAAATACTTAATTATGACAAAAGCAGGATCACCATCAACCGGAGTGATTGATATTCTGGAGACCATATTCTTGTTGTATTGTGTGTCTTATGACCCTCATGATCCTTATCTATTTTTAGTTTACGGAAACAAGACAGTTTTTCCTTCCTGCAGAGTCATATATAGTTAATCTGATCCAGCACAGCACATAGCTAACATCTCTGTCTGTGTTATACCCGAATAATGTGTATTAGTCTGAATAACCTCAGTCTGATTAGTCCAGTTGGTTCAAATCGGTGTAAACTTAATTAGTGTTAGTCATTCAGTTAGAAGTGCAGTTTTACTGGTAACAATAAAGTAGTTTAGGATCAGAGAAACATGTGTGTTACCATAAGTGTTGTGTTATTGAAAACATGTATTGCTATGGCTGTTGATACCTCAAGCCTTTGTCACCACATATAATAGTTATATTATTACATTACTCTTTATTTTTTGTATCCAATGGAGAAAGAAGAAGAAGAAGAGAAAGAAACCTATTTAATGAGTCAAACTGTACTCCATTATTTCTATTATCATGTTTTCATCATGTCTTTCTGAATTAAGAAATACGTAGGAAAGGCACATTACAACTGTAACACAGTTAAACTGTCATTAGCTGAGCGCTTCATTATCATTTATATTCTGAACGACCTGTTCTAGGACTCTGATGAAAGTAAGCCGCTGATCACCCACCCAAACCCTGTCAGCAAACCCCCTAATGGGACTGACTGGATCACTACCAGTGTCCCCTCAGCAAGGACAGATGAACAGGCCCTCCTTACATCCATCCTCACCAAGACAGCACAGTAAGACACTCTTCCATGCAACCATAGACGAGCCAAATTCAGCCTGTGTTTTTGAGCAGTAATTCATGTGTTGTCCTTTTAATAAACTTGCCTTTATTTCCTCTCTGTCAGGAACATCATTGATGTCTCAGCAGCTGACTCTGTCATGATGGAGCAGCATGAATACATGGACAAAGCTCGGCAATACAGGTATGTGTGCGAGCAGTTGTGTAATGTTGTTGTCCAGCGTTGTTGCTCTTCTGCAGGATTCTGTTTGGTTTTCTGTGTATGGTTGTGGGGATGCTGGGGGTCTTTTGTTTGGATTTGAGTTGTCTTCTAAAATGAGACCAATCAGTCTGTATTAAACGTATCTGAAGATGGTTATCATTAAGCAGCTGAATCATACATGTGGGTCGCCTTTAAACTGTAAAGATAACGTGGGTATTTAAGTTGTTAGAGCCATATAATGATAACATTCTTAGTTACAGTGTTTATTTACAGTTTACAGCTTATGGGAAAGAGATGTTCAGATGACTTAAAGCTAGGGTGTAATGTTGGAGAAACTAGCCAGAGACAGCTAGATTTTGAAACTGACAGCCAAAGATACTGGATTTCTTTCTTCCTCTTTATTATTATTTTTTAGAGCATTTGATTTATTAATTGCTGATGGAAAGATAGTTTCAAGCAATATAACAAAACATGCTTCTGAAATACATTACCTACCCTAGCTTAAATATTATTAAAACTGTCAGCTAGCTGTATGTCCAACAGTGGCTGGCTGGTTGGGACATCTGTGGTTGGTGCTGGTTTAAATGTAGTGAAACACATTTCCACACAAACCAAACGACTCAAGCAGCTGATGGGGTGGGAGGGAAGTGATTCAACAAAAAAATTGCAACAGCTGTAGACCTATTCCTTCAAACTTTATCCCCGATACAGTGACACCTAGTGGCTATATTTCTACCAAACATGCAGCTATTTTTAGGCTAAAACACACAAGAGACAAGGTGATGTGTTGTTGACAAACTGTTTTAAACTGCAGCTAAGGTAATGACAGAGCAACAGCCCCAGTAAGCTTGTGCCTTTTTTTTTGTTTCAGTACAAAGCTGGCTGTATTGAGCAACAGTCTGCCCCAGAAGAAAGCCCTCGCTCTCCCCTCCCTCACCAGCCAGCCCCACCAAGTGCTTGCGAGTGACCTGGTGCCATACTCAGATGTTCAGCAGGTAATCATTCACTGACACACAGATATGTTGCCATGTTTATTTTTTTCCTTTGTTGGCTACATTTGACATGAGAGATACTCTTTTAGAAGAAGTATGTGTAGCTGCGTGGTACTTCAGTGCGAGGGGGTGTGACTAAATCTGTGGCTAAAAATAGATCTTGGAGATATCTAATGCTTTTCTCTTGATGCTGCTTTTAACTTGTCTTATTTCACTCAGTGAAATTGTGAATTTTAACTTAACATTAACTGTCTTCCTCTTTCTTTGCAGGTGTCCAAGATAGCAGCTTACGCTTACAGTGCAATCTCTCAAATCAAAGTGGATGCTAAAGAAGAACTGGTGGTCCAGTTTGCCATTCCCTGATTCTGCAACTCTGGCCTGCATATTGTTCCTCCCATCCCGCTCTCTCTGTGTCACTTCTGCATCCTCACCCTCCAGCCCACCCTTTATTAAAGCATATTGGTCCTTGTGCTTCTTAGCTATGCCTCTAACTGCTACAAAGACAGTGATGATGATGTAGGATTGCACCCTATGCCTGTCATTTAGTGCACTTAATTATGGGTCAGGCTACGGAAGGTGGTTTACTGTGGAGGGGCCGTTGGTGTGTGATGTTATATTTATAACAATATGGCCTCCTTTTGTATGTGTGGATCACAGGCTTTGTCAGAACCAGCTGTGGAAAAATCATCGTTCATCCTTCTTGACGATCTCTCTTATTTAACAGTTTTCATGGCCGTCTCAGTAACTTTATTCCCCCCCTAGCCTGTATACTCAGGCACGCAAGGCTAGGTCCACAAGTCAGACTGTTCTCCAGAGGCATAGAAGAATGTACAGTGTATTCACCTGGGACAGGGCTGTAGGATTTATGGCTCAAGACATTGGCTATTTGTGTTTATACATGATACAATCTCCATTGGAACAAGGGAAATGAGGAATCTCTGACAGGAAAGAATGGAAATTATCACAGTACCATAAGTACAAGTGCAGTGATTTATTTATTTTTTTAGTCAGGATGAAAAACTTGCAACATAGCTTAAAGTGTGCACTTCATATGTCTTTAACTCTGTACTGTCATCCTGGGATGACACTACCCATTCCTCAGTCTTTCTCCTTGCACAGTAAAAAGTACGTAGAAATTGGAGCCATAAAAAGAGAATGTTTTCCCTTAATGTTAAGATTCGTTATAATTTGGAAGGTTGTAATACTATAGTCCTGATGTATGCTGGGGAGATCTGAGCATCAAACATCCCACAGTAATTTGGTGTCACACTGCACCACGATCGGTGTCTCACTGCAACCTAAACATGAACCAATCTCACTAATTCAAATTTAATTAACATTTCACTGTAATGATGTTTTAAAACAGTGAACCGGTTCAGTTGGTTATTTGTTGCCCAGTGTGTAATCTGATGTTCCAGTGGAGGCCAAATTATGAGTGACCTGTCCATGGCTGGTATCCTCTGGTGGGTGAGGACGCAAACACAAAGCAGGGGGGGTCGGTGGGACCTACTAATGTCACGGGACGGGAAAAGATGGCCCTTTCTTGGGACACAACTTCTCCAGTTTACAGACAGTAACGTGTCCTCTGAAGTTTTCTAGCACTAACAAAAGGAGCTGGCAGACTCTTTAAATCAAATCCCAGAACTTCACGTATCTAATAGCAGTGGAAGCATACAGAGATGAAGGGGTGGGGGTGTGTGGAGGGTTCAGGGACAGATGCTGTGTATTCATGCCTTCTTTGTACAGAATTTTCTGATTGAATATAAAAACAGATGATGGATTGTATGAAGTTCCCTCTTTTCGTAGAGAGTTCATTGGTCAGGATTGGCTAAGATCTTGTGGTGATAAAACGTTTTTATGAAACGCAAGAACACTTTTAAGGCTTGCGTTGGCTTTTAAACAAAGCTTTTCGCTACAGACTGTAATATGATTGAGTTGTTCATATTAATCAAAAACTAACCATTGTAGCAGTGTGGGAGAGCGTTAACAATCTATGTACCACCGCAGATAAAATGATCCGAGACCTTTTTGTGATTATTTATTTGTGTTTTTAAATGTATATTAGCTCCTCAGAGAGCATGCGACTGTATGTGTGGGCAGGGAGCACGGTGAGCCGCTCTAGAGTCTCTAAAGGGATGATCTGCAAGGCTGTGATTATTTCAACCACGCAATTAATTTGAGCTTTTTGCAAATGGGTTCTTGGCATTTTTTTTTTCTGTTTTGTTTGTTACTCAGATGTGTTATACTACCTGAAATATGTTTGTAATATCTTAGGCTAGTACCAAAAAGTTTTAAGATTTTCTTTTTTTTTTTTTTTTTTTTTGTTGTTTGTTTTTGGTTTAATTAATTCATTAAAATTTTCAACATAAGCACTCGTGTCTTATTAAATAAATAGTAACATGCATATCTGGGAAGAAGTTGGTTCTTTAATGCGATAGAGACAGTCTAACAATAACCCACAATTTCAAACAACGTACAGTATGTCAATATCTAAGGATCATTCAGTGACGTTTGCTTCACTATTATGTTAACTTCTTTTCCAGACAAATAAATTGTTCATTTCAGCAGATTAAAATAAAACAGAAGCATTAAAACAATGCAGGTTTCAACACAGATACACAGATAAATATACAACATGTATTATATAACATTTTAGAGGTTTTCCTTCAGTGGATGTGGAGTACAGAACATTTGGGTAAAACCATGCTTTCAACCCCCCCCTACAGAGATGAAGCAGCCGTCACCGGATAGTCTCCTTGCTGCTCCTGTTGCAGTTGTTGCTGTGATGCCAAATCTTTGCCATGACTCGCTCCTGGCGTGTCACAGCACTGAAGTCCATCGTCTTTAACCGAGGCAGAGCAGAAATCACATGATTCCTACGTGCACAAAGACACACAGTTAGCGCGTGCACTAAATAGTACATTTTGTATGTGTCTGCACAGAAAATCAAACCTGAATGTTAAAGAGGTGCATAGCTATGGAAACTATGAAAAGTTGACCTTATCTTTATGTTACTGGTGCTACATCTACTAAACATTAAGATACATAATCAAAAACCTGTATTGTTTCATGAGAAATCCGTTCATTGAAACAGACTTTTAACCAACAGTGGCTCTTTCTCTGTGTGTGTGTGCGTGTGACCTGTGTTGCTATGCAGACTGGGATACGTAACATGAGCTTGAGCTGCATTTAAGCACCTGTTACAATGTTATGCATCTACATGCTTGCCAATTATTCATGTCTCAGATGAACACACACACACACACACACACACACACACACACACACACACACACACACACAATGTTGTTGCACTCTTGTAGCATAACCCTCCCTCTACTCTGACTTTGTATTTAGTTCTATACTCAAACTACAAGCAGTTGTGGATTACTGCTGGGTGCTTATTGTCAGTCACTATGTTCATTATTTATAAAGAGTCATATAACAATGTCAGAGCACTCAGTGTCCCACATCCAAACATTTTACAGCTAGGCAGGATGTGTGTGTGATTGGGATAAATGAGTTCCACCTGTAGGCCTTGTTGGTTTCTATGACATTTCCATGCAGAGTGATGGTGTGTAGATGTGGTAGCACTCCCAGCCTGTCCACCTCTGACAGAATGTAAATGCTGTTGCCGTGAAGATACAGCACGCGCAGTTCACGCAGCTCGCACAAAACCTGGAAACAAAAGCACACGCATGAACACTTACTGCAGGTTTACTGTGAGAAAGACATCTAGGCCACAAGCAAACATGCAAACAATGGCAAGAGGAAGGTTACCTGATCTATGTGTGAGATTTCATTAAAGGAGAGATCCAGCCAGGCGAGCTGTGAGGGCTCAGCCAGGAAGTGGCTCACAGGCTTCTGGAGGTCACTAAGGTCAGTAATGTTGTTGTTATTGAGACGCAAGGAGCGGCTTAGGTACTTCATCTCCGAATTTTTCTTTAAAGGTCGCAAACTGCTGCTTGGTTCCTCTATCCATGCGTCTGACACCACAAATAAAATGAATACGGTGAATATTAAGTACCGCCCTGTGGATTGGTTCGATTTTGTGTAACATTTTATTCAAGGTACACACTGTTTCAAAGACATAGATATTAATCAGAAGATGAGGCATTGTGGTCATTAAGTTTCCATCGAATTTACCAAGGAATTCACAACACAGAAATATGAGAAATGATCTTGAGCTGTTTGGTTGCACATTAATTTGGTAGAAGAAATGCTTAAAATTGTATTAGAAAAGAATAATACAGACTAAATACACATTTATAACAAACTATATACATATATGTACTGAAAATGTATTTCTCTTTTTTATTTTAAGTATACTGCAGTACACTGTAATGTGCAGCCACTAAAGAAAATGTGCATTTAGTATCTAATAATAATAGTACAGTGATAATACTGAAAATAAACAATAGTGTAAAGTACAATAAGGAGAGACAGCCTTACAGGAATATGACATTGATTGTGTACTACCTGTCAAACTGCTGATGTGTTTAAAAGATAAATCTACTGGAGCTCCACACATATTCACACCTGTAACAGATCCACTCACCTGTGGGAGGACAGTGACATCATGGTCATTGACCCAGTAAACAGTCATTTAAAACACAAACACAGAAACGTATGAATTTGCTGACATTAGTATTTCCACACACACTTCATAGGTATCCTCTCATGTAACAGTATCGTGGGCATATAAGGCTGCTATAACGTTAAATCATACATTTCTATGGTATCGATCCACACAAGCCATAATTGCCCATTTCGGACCGATTTTTACTTATTGACCCACTTCGATTAGCTGTTAACCTATCAAAAAACCCACTTACCAACAAACTAATGAAGCATACGGGCGTAATAACAACACACCTCCTCACTTAGGTCACTTAGAAACTCCTGTAGCCTTAACATTTACGTTACCTGTCGAAGAGACAACAATCCGTTTCCAAGGAAACGAACAGGTACATCATGGGATTTGTAGTTAGACTATATTGTCTATCAAGATTACGATTAAACTGCGTTTGCCCATATGTTTCTACCATGTTTCTATGAACATTTATTGAGTAAATGTGTCGCCGTAATAAACACAGGCTAACAGTAATTAATTAAACTAACGTTACTGTGTTTATATGTATATGTGTGCCTGGAGGACGCTTCTCTTGTTTGCTTGCACAGCTTTAAATTGTACACCGGCGTACGCCGAAATTCATCCGGGGTTGCGAAATGGCAGTCTGTCTGCGATAATATTAAGGCGTGTTTAATCTGCTGAAACCTTACTGATTCTAAGACTAAAAACATAAAGGAAAAATAAAAAAACTAATAATAAAAAATGCATTTAAACTATATTTCAGCGGCTCTTCCCCGCCTACATCGAAACCGAGCACCCCGACGGAGATATCGAGCGCAACGCTCAGTTGACGTCCGGCTTTTTAAACCAATCAGCTTCGCCTATTTTCGTATGCGTCGATTCCTCGAAACTGATTGGCTGATTCAATCTGGAGCAGCCGTTTTTAAAATGTGTCTGGTTTCTGGACTGTTTATTTCGCAGCTGTGGGACGAAAGGGTTGTAAGTTACCTGTCTTCACAAAACCAATTAATAACCCTACGATACAGAAAAAGTGGCTTTGGCTTTTCAGGTGAGTCCCTGCTCGGATGCAACATTTTATAACCATTAGTCTTTAAGATTAACGCCGAGTCACAGTAACTTAGTCAGCTAACGTTAACTAGCTCACTGTTATCCAGTTATTATAATGCAGGTTAACGTTAACTGAACCTCGCTAACACTAAGTTAGCAGCCAGTAAACAAATACACTGTAGTGGTAATTTAGGTAACTTTATTTAGCTAACAGTTAGTTGTCGATGAAACTGTTGTTGGACAACGCTAGCTGTAGTTATAAGCTTGTTTTTGTTTCTTCGCTTTCAGGTTTGAAATCCCTTTGAAATAAAGGGTCAGCCAAGATGGCGATGAACTTAGGTGTCAAGGCTCTTCTTTGCTGGGTAAGTTAATTGTAACATTTGTTATTCAGTGCAAATATGTTGATTTCCATTAAAGCTGTATTGATTAAGCAACTTGACAAACTATCTTTTTTTTTTTTTGCAGGTTAACAGTATAAAACTGTCAGACCGAGACATAACATTAACTATTGACGATTTACAAGATGGGACAGTCTTACTGAAGATTGTTTACATGCTGTAAGTAGAAGTAATGTGCTGCAATGCTTTGCCTGTGTAAACAAGGGAAGGTCAATGATTACTGTAAAACATTTTAAACGTGCTTCTCGAAATAATAGATAATTCATTAGATTGAACTTCCATTTTTTCCATCTTCTCTCAGGAAAAAGGAATCCAACTCCTGTTGCATTAATTCCATCGAGGATCGGTTTAAGATCATAGCAGACTTTGTGGAAAGTAAGTTTCTCTACCTTTTTTAAAAGATCAGATATTGCCTTTTGTAAAAGTGTGATAAAATGTGTGACAAAGTCTCAAAGATGTCACCCTTTTAGCTTAGTGCTAAAAAAGTCCTAACATGTTTGATAAAATCTGAAACAAGCATACTATGTTTCTGAAAATGTCACTGTAGTCAGTGTGTTATTTACTACATTAAAGGCACTGTTTCTCTCTGTTATCTTTTAGTTGAACATTTCAAATGTAGCACCTTTGACCACACCCCTAATCGCTGTTGGGTGTGGTCTTAAGTATTTCCTGCTGCACCTGTAAACATGCCAGACAGTGATGGCAGTGTGTAAAGAACACAACTTTTACAGGCAGACAGATGTTGAATATTTCTGTCCTTTGAGAATTAACATATCTGTCTATTTATTTATTTTTATTAGGGGATTGCAGATTCAGTGCAACCAAAGGCACTTCATTGTCTTGGGACAACATAGTAGATGGCATCAACCTAACAGTAGAAATTGCAAAGGTATAAGATGAAGAAAAAACAAAATTAGGACAAACATTGATATAGAACCATTCTGACTCATTCTTTGTGATACCACCAGGTGCTTTTGTTGCTCGTGTACCAAGACATGATGAATCACCGCTGCACACTAAACACATTAGAATGTGAAGTGGAGGTAATTAGAGAGTTGTTTTTAGATAATCAGATAAGTGTCTTGTCCACCACCGAGATACATCACATTTCATTCATCGTGTGTTGTGCTGTCATTTAATCCTGTTCCAATATGTCCCTGCTTATATCTTTTAGCGAGAGATAGCGAACCTAACGGGTTCATATGTGATGGAGAGCGAGGGCTCTGTTTATTTGAATCACGGCCTCGATGCCTATTTGGCAAGGAGACGTAAGTCATAATTTCTTTTTTAATCTTCCATTTCTTCATGTCATATTGCCATATTAACAGTCATTAGTGTCACCCATACAGTGTTACTGTATAAAACTAGCTTTCTGGTTTGAGTTGAACATGCAAGCTGTAAAGTCTGTTAAACTGTATCTCTCCATTATTTTTCAGATTTACCTGCCAACTGTGAAATATTTGAGGAACTAGCAACCACCTCTACATCCAGTCTGTCGACCATGTCCTCGCTGTCTGATGGTGACTCCCCTGTCTTCCACCGCACACAGAAAATCACATTTTTGGATATGCAAACTGTGGCTTCTTCCTCAGTCAGGTATCTGTGTGTGTTTGAATTTGAGCACAAGGCTTATTGTATTCATCAAATGTAAACTAGGAAAATTTCTGGCCAGTGTTTATGCAAACTTTACTAAACTTCTTTGAGGGCTGCCCCTGAAAAGTTGATGATTTGAATCATCAGTTGAGAAGAGCTTGAGTCGACTCAAAACATTCTAGTTTTATTTTCCTGTGGCTTTGTGATGATAATATGTAGGTGTGTGCTGGGTATCGATCTATTAAACCTCTTTACTAGACATTTTTCAGCTTAATTAATTAGCTGCATGTCACCTTTTTCAAGACCTTCAGCTCAAATGAATCATGAGAGAAAGCTGATTTGTTGGTATTCTTAATGAAAATCTGTAGTAGTGAAAGTAGTTTGATGCACCATACTTTGCTGAACTTGCAGTTACTTAGATTTTTGTTTTCACACAATAACAAAATGCCAAACGTTTTACTTGCATATCATTAAAACATTGACTAATATGCACATAATAAGCAGGTCTCTCATCCATTTTATGTTTTCCATGCAATGTTATTAGTTTGACAATAAATCTTAAACTTTCCTGATCTGCTTTTATTCCCACAGCAAATCTCCTCTGCAGGATATCATGAACACACCTAAATTTCAGTTGAGGAAGATGCAGCGACAGATGATCAAGGAGAGAGACTACAGAGATGGGTTGGAGAGGGAACTGGCCAGCAAGCTTGCCCTCATTGCACAGAGAGGTACCACATTTAAGTGTTTGTTTTATTAAGTTTATACGACATTGAACAACTTGTTTTTGGTGTCTGCAGGGTCTTAATAAACTGAATTTTCAGGCCATAAATGTCTTTAAATATGACTTTGACAAATCTTGACAATTAATTGGTTTAATGAAGTTAATACTACTTGTATAAAGTTTTTCACTCTCCCCTTTTAAATCTGTTTTTGGGGAAAGTTTGTGTTGCTCATGCTGTAACAACTACAATACAAAACTTACATGCAACTAATACCGATTTTCCTTTATATCCTTTGTTTTTTTAAATACTTTTATTCCCTCTGTGGATGTGAAATAGGTCTTAATTCGCATTCATAGCGGCCTTAAAATGTCTTAAATTGAACCTGCATGTAACCTAAGAGCCAGATTAAACTCTGTTCTATACTTTGTATTTTCAGAAACCCATATTAACCAGTTACAGTACCGCCTTGATAAGCTGAAAGAAGAGCAAGGTGATCAGGAGCAAGTTTTGAGGGAACAAATCAATGAGCTTGAGACCAAGAACAACACGTAAGTATCAGAACAGAACCAAACACAATCATATTTTTACTGTGAGGCTTATATGTTAATGTGCACCAGAGCTAATAAGACCTTTTACAACAAAGACGCTAGTTTAACTTGAGTTTGAATAATGTTTGCTTTTACAGACTGATACCTCGCCTGTTACAAAACCGATCAGTTGCTAACTGTTTTTTTCTGTCTTAGGCTACAAATGCGTATTCATGATATGTTGAAGGAAAACAAAGACCTAAAGTGTAACTCCGCACTGATGGAACGCAAAGTGTTAGAGTGTACAGAAGAAAATGGTGTACTTTCTTCCCAGGTAATGACACATGTGCAAAGTTTCTCTCTGTTAAATGCAATTTCTGCTGCTCCTTCATAAGTGAGAAAGCAATCAGTAAAAGTCTGGTGCAATTCTTATGTCCTTCAAAGTTTCAACATGAGTAGACTTCCCTCTGAAACTAAGCCATGTGAATATTATACTGGTGGTGTCAAGTCCCAGTGTGTTCAGCACTAGTAGCAACCCTTTCTAAGTAGAGTCACGTATCAATATTGAAATCCAAACTTAATGGAGATTGTAAAAACTTAATTTAAATATTTTCGCAGATGAGAGCAGTGTGTTCACAGCTGGCCATCTTTGAGGCAGAAGTTGGCAGGCTGACAGAAACCCAAGCATCTGCTCAGGAGGAGTGGAAAAGCAAAACGGACCACCTAGAGTCTGAACTCAACCAAACTACTGCTCAAAAGGTACATCTTGTATATCCTTACAACAGAAGTCGTGTTAGCAACTGCTTTTAGTTTGTTAAAACCTTAAATGATTCAGTTTGTACCCAGTAGAAATAAACAAATGTTATATGACAGTATTATTTTATAGTTTTAAATGTTTTGTCACTGGAATGAAAACACTACAAAATAAATCACTTGTCACGTAATAACAACTCAGACCTTTCTTCCTCAACTCTGCAAACAATCGGTAATGTGCAGGAATGCCCCAGTACCTGTAATTATTTTATAATTGGAAGAAAAGCACACACTATAGTTAAGAATTGACTGCGTTTATGATATACTGCCCATGAGACAGAGTTTTGTGTTGATGGAATAAATAATTCTACTTTTACTCATTACATTTTGGGGCTCTTCACAAATGTACTATGCTCATCCTTGTTTTTCAGGATCTACTGACTGAACAAATTCAGATCCTCCAGGGAAAGATTTCATGTTTGGAGGATGAAATAAGCAGGGCCTCTAAAGAAGAAGTAGGGGAGAATATGGGGCCTATAATGGAGGTAAAGTCCATAATTCATTAAGTGAAATAATGAAACTGAATTCAGTAATGTTTGCTTATAAAATATAAAGTATGCATTTTCTTATTTTCAAAATCTGTTTTGGATTGCATGGTTGCTAATGGCTTTGTTCTTAAATTGCCAGAGAGAAATGTATGAGACTGAAATCAACAGCCTAAAGAATGAGCTGGAAGGCACATTTTGCTCCCTGAAAAGGGCTGAGGTGGAGATTCAGTCCAAAACACAGCAACTGGCAGAGTATCAGGAAGAAATAGCTCAACAGAAGGATCTCCAGAAGCAACAGAAGTCCCAAAGTGAAAAAATGATTCATGCCAAGGAGGAAATTTTAGACAAGTTGCAAAAGGAGATCAATAAGCAGAGAGCAGTCCTTCAGCAAGAGATCCAGGATCTGAAACTTCAACTTGAGCAAGTTGAGCATCAGAAAATTGAGCAGATGACCAGATTACAACAGCATATTGCTGCTTGTGAAGAAGAAGTTGTAAAACTAAAGGAAATTAAGAAAGAGAAGGAAGACCTTCTCCACCAGACAGAAGAAAAAATGAGAGAGCTTGAGACACAGTTATCTGCTGCCAGTTCTCTCTTGGCTGATAAAGATCAACAAATTAACAGTCTCAGAGAAGAAGTTGACATTCTTACAGATGAAATTAAAAGTGACAGAAATGAAATTCAAGCCAAAGAGGAAATGCTTGCCAAATTACTTCTGGAGAAGTCTAATGACCACGAACATTTTCAAAATAAAATCCAGACCATGACAGTCCAAGTGGAAGATCTTATCTCATCTCTCAAACAGGCTGAGCAGGAAATCCAAATTAAGCAAGACCTATTGGCTAAAACCCAACAAGACAATACCCAACAAAGAGAGGCACTCCAACAGCAGATTGTGACACGTGAAGAAGAGGTTCAGAAGTTAAACAAAGAGATCGAGGTCAAAAATGAGCAGCTTGTTATTCTAAAGAATGACAGCTCTCAACAGTCTAAATTGCTTGAGCAAGAGATTAATGGTCTAAAAGGCCAACTACAAAGTCTGATGGACTCTCTCAGAAAAGCTGAGCAACAAGTTCAGGCTCAGAAGGTTATTCTTACAGAGCAGGAGCAGGAAAGTGCTCATCAGAAGGAGCTCCTGCAGCAACAACTGTCTGCTTCTGAGGAAAGGACGAGGAGCATGATGGAGGAGATCCAGACTAAAGAGGAACAGATTAACATGTTGGAAAAACAAAGTTCAGAGCAGTCAGAAACATTACATCAAGAGATCCAAGATTTAAAGCCACAAATTGAGTCTCTTAGTTCTTCACTGAGGAATGCTGAGGAGAATTTGCAATCCAAGGAAAATCTATTGGCTGAACAGCATCTACAGAGCACTCAAGATATAGCGGCACTCCAGACGCAGATGGTAGCATCTCAAGATGAGGTGAAGAGGCTAAATACTGAGATTCATGCGAAGGAGGAGCAGTTAATTCTTCTGAAGACCGAGACCTCTACACACTCTGAGTTGCTACAGCAGGAGATTGAAAGTCTGAATACACAAATTGAAAGTATGAGCAATTCTCTTGAGATCACCAAAGATCAGGTTCAAGCCCAAGAAAATTTGATGGCCAAGCAGGAGAAGGAGAGCACTTTGCAGATTGAGGAACTTAGAAAGCACAGTGCAGTTCTTGAGGAGGACGTTAATCGGCTCAGGGATGAGATCCAAACTAAAGAGGGCGAGGTAGACATGTTAAAGGCTAATAACCACAAGGAGTCAGAAGTGCTACAGAATGAGATCCAGACACTCGGGGACCAAGTAAAAAGTTTGAGCGAATCCCTGAAGACTACAGTAGAGCAGGTTCAGGCTAAAGAAAACCTGCTGACTCAAAAGGAAATTGAGATATCTCAGGAAAAAGAGAAATTTCAAAACTTGATGACATCCTCTGAAGGGGAGATAAGTGACCTTAGGGAGCAGATCAAGACTAAAGAGGATCAGCTGGTCACACTGAAAAAGGAGAGCTCCATACATTCTGACATGTTACAGCAAGATATTGAATGTCTAAAAAAACAACTAGAAAGTCTAAATGACTCTCTCAAAAAGTCGGAGGAACAAGTTGAAGCTCAGAAGATTATGCTTACAGAGCAGGAGCAGGAAAGTGCTCATCAGAAGGAGCTCCTGCAGCAACAACTGTCTGCTTCTGAGGAAAGGACGAGGAGCATGATGGAGGAGATCCAGACTAAAGAGGAACAGATTAACATGTTGGAAAAACAAAGTTCAGCGCAGTCAAAAACATTACATCAAGAGATCCAAGATTTAAAGACACAGATTGAGTCTCTTAGTTCTTCACTGAGGAATGCTGAGGAGAATTTGCAATCCAAGGAAAATCTATTGGCTGAACAGAATCTACAGAGCACTCGAGATATAGCGGCACTCCAGACGCAGATGGTAGCATCTCAAGATGAGGTGAAGAGCCTAAATACTGACATTCATGCGAAGGAGGAGCAGTTAATTCTTCTGAAGACGGAGACCTCTACACACTCTGAATTGCTACAGCAAGAGATTGAAGGTCTGAATAAACAGATTCAAAGTATGAGCAAATCTCTTGAGATTGCCAAAGATCAGGTTCAAGCTAAAGAAGATTTGATGGCCAAGCAGGAGAAGGAGAGCACTTTGCAGATTGAGGAACTTAGAAAGCACAGTGCAGTTCTTGAGGAGGACGTTAATCGGCTCAGGGAGGAGATCCAAACTAAAGAGGGTGAGGTAGACATGTTAAAGGCTAATAACCACAAGGAGTCAGAAGTGCTACAGAATGAGATCCAGACACTCGGGGACCAAGTACAAAGTTTGAGCAAATCCCTGAAGACTACAATAGAGCAGGTTCAGGCTAAAGAAAACCTGCTGACTCAAAAGGAAATGGAAATTTCTCAGGAAAAAGAGAAATTTCAAAACTTGATGACATCCTCTGAAGGGGAGATAAACGGGCTGAAAGAGCAGATTCATGCTAAAGAGGATGAGCTGGTCACTCTAAAGAAAGAGGGCTCCATACATTCTAATATGCTACAGCAAGATATTGAATGTCTAGAAAACCAACTAGCTAATATGGTTGACTCTCTGACAAAGGCTGAGGAGAAGGTTCAGACTCAGCTAGTTATGCTCACTGAACAGGAGCAGGAGAGCACTCATCAGCACGAGCTCTTGCAGCAACAACTGTCAGCTTCTGAGGAGGAGGTAAAGAAGATGAAAGGGGAGATCCAAGCTAAAGAGGAACAGATGATGCTGCTGAAGACCGAGAGCTCAGAGCAGTTGGATTCACTACAAAAAGAGATACAAAGTTTAAAGACACAGGTGGAGACTCTTAGCTCCTCAGTGAGGAAGGCTGAGGAGGATATGCAATCCAAGGAAGATCTGTTGGCTCAACAACAAGAAGAAAATACTCAACAGAGGGAGGCACTACAGAACCTACAGGAGAAAGTCAAACAAGTGGAGATTCTTCAGGAAGAGATTTCTTCACGCAACGAAGAGATTCAAAAGCTAAAAGAATCTCAGGCTGAGAGAGACTGTCTCCTTCTCAAGGCTGAGGAGAAGCTTCAGATCCTCCAGACTGAGTTGTCTGCTGTCAACACACACATAGCTGATAAGGACCAAAATCTGAACACTCTCAGAGAGCAGGTCGCTGCTCAAGCTAACTTGGTTCAAAAAGCAAAGGAGGAAGCTGAAGCCAATGAGAAAATGCTGGCTGAAATAAAGAAGGAGAGCTCTAAACAGACAGATGTTCTTCAACAAGAGATTCAACATCTGAAAGGGGAGTTGGAAACCAGTTCTTTTAAAGAGCAGAGGTTACTTCAAACTCAGCGGGAGTCTGCTCAGCAGATAGAGCTCCTCCAGCAGCAGCTTGTCTCAGTAAATGCAGAGACACAAGCGGCACAGGAGTTGCAGGTTGTTGCTTTTTGGGAAAAGGAGGCTCTTGTTGGAGAAAAAGAAGTACTGATGGCCAGGATACTCCAGGCAGAAAAGGACCAGAAAGCTCTGGAAAAACAACTTGAAGCCATGGTCTTTGAGAAGGAGAGACTTGTTCATGCCAAGCATGCCATAGAGAGAGAGAACATAGCCTCCCATAAACTGGAATCTGTGCTGCAACATGAGTTGGAAATGGAGAAAGAGAAACTCTTGGAAGAGAGACATAAGGCAGAAGAAATTGAGATTCTAAGGAGAGACCTTCAGGAACAGCTTTCAGCTAAATCGGAGGCTGCAGAACACTACAAGGCACAGGTTGGTTTGACCACTAACAATCACCACAGAACATAATACAATTATGACCAGTAACATCAACTAGTCTTAAGCTTGCACTATAGCTTCATATGCTGCTTGGTTGCTTTATCTGTTTGGTGTCAGATGGGTAGTCTGGACTAAGATTAATACTAATATATATTTTTATACTATCACAATGCCACAGATCGAGAAGGCAATGAGTCATTATAATAGCAAGAAGCAGCTTCTCCAAGAAAGCCAGGAGGAAGTGGCTGAACTCAAGCATTCCTTAGAGGTTAAGGAGCGCGAGGCAAAGGCTATTGCCACGGAGAACAAGATGCTTCAACTGGATTTGGACAAGGCCCAGACCAACGAGAAGAAACTTGTGACTATGGTGGCCAGTTTGGAGGCACAGGTTGGTATTGTATTTTGAAGCCTGAACACACATGCTCTCTAAGATGAGACTGAAAATACTGTAATTGCAACTAAAAGAAAGCAGGAAACTTCTAGAGTTCATTTACTTTTAATAGCACATTTCTGCTGCATTTCAACCTGATTTCTACAACTACATCTGTTTACCTTTTTAGCTGTCCTTTGCTGACCATAACCTGCGGGCACAGAATAGGATTCATGGTAATGAAAGAAGTGCAAGAGAGTCGTGTTACTTGGAGGTTCCCAACGCACACTCAAGTGTTCAGACTAGAGCACAAGTGAAGAGAACTATGAGCTTTGACAGCCTGGACCAGAGCTCTCTGGAAGACTCCCTGAACACCACAAGGTAATGCATCTGATCTCAGTAGTAGCATGAGCACCAACAAATTAAGTAACTTGAAAAAGGCAGAAAAGCCATACATTCTGCCGTCGAGGCATAGCGGGAATCTATTGTGATTGTAATCTTGCACAATACTCTGTTTCTTACCTTTTGCAGGAAACTTTCAGCACCTGATGAATCGAGCACACCGCTTGTTCGCAGTTCAGAGCGCTTGGCAGCCAAACGCCGGGGTCTACATACAGAGTCACTGGAAACTCTTTACTTTACTCCTATAAGCAACAAACAGAACAACAGGTACGTCACAAGGTTGTAGCAATTTTGGTATTTAATAGCCACTCTTAGGAGGTTTTTCTGATTAAAAGTGAGAGCACTAGGTGTACTGCGCGCTCTCAAATTTATTTCAGCATATAGTCTATTAACTGAAGATTGAGAGTGTCTTTGAATTGCTTAGCTTTACTCAGCCTTATTTGGGCTACATTACATTGTGAATATATGCTCACATAATTTAGAAAAGGTCTGTTTATTGTGTCCCTGTGAGAGTTTACTGATTCGGACATCAGTCCCCTGTCATCTAAACACAATTTCACTAGTGAAACTTAGTTTGTCCCTGCTAGCATTTCTATTGCTTTTGTTTTAATACTAGATTTCACAACTGGTTTAAAGTAAGTTAAAAAAGATGAAACCTTATGAAATAATTACCAAATGTTTAAATCAATGTCACTATAGCTCATTAAAATAGAATTGTAATGTAAGAGGCAATATTCATCCTGACTACAGGCTTCAAACTGTAACTTAACCGGTTAGCAACGGATCTTGAGATACTTAAGCTGCAGTGTATCTAAATTTCCTGATGTTAGTGTAACCAAAATCACTTTTTTCCCCACATTGTAATTGAGATCCTTCCTCCTTTTTTAATTGCGTAGGACCAGTACGGAGCACCAAACTGAGCTGGATTCAACCCGGAAAAATCCAACTTCATCTGTCAAAAGACGCAGGACCACGCAGGTTATTAACATCACCATGACCAAGGTGGAGGAAACTCACTTGCACACTTGTTGCATGTTTTGCATGTTCACAATAACACACTGTTGAATAACTACTGTACAGATAATGATCACATTATCTGTCTCACTCTTCCTCAAATATGGTCATTGTGATGATGAAGTTTGTCTTTCTTTGAGCACTTTTAGGGTTCAGCTGATTCTTTAATTCAGTTCATTTAATAATACTTTTTATCTTTAACATTGTCAACCTTGTTTTAACTGTCATACTAAAATACAATTTTAACATTAGAGCTCTGTGTACCTTGTTGTTGGGTGCCCTGCTTGTGGTACACAGTGTAAAATCGCATTCAAATGTCTAAACCCAAATGTTTTGGCTTGCTCTCTGAAAACATCCCTACACTCCCACTGCAATATTATTGTAGTTGTAAGTGGTTGTTAAACTCTCATTTGTAGAAAACCCCAGGCAGAGGTGAAGAAGATGAGACTTTCTACAGTCTGGCCTCAGCTCGCTCCCATCCAAACCTCTCCAATGCCCATTCTGCGCGACCTGTGTCTTTGGAGCTGCCTGACAAACCTGCCAGAATGACTGGCACTACCAGTGACCAGCTCATCGGTCTTCCAGGGTACAGACGGAGCACAATCCATTTACAGCGTAAGTAGACACACAGCTTAATTACAGTACTGAAAGTTGATTTGAGTGAGATGTCAGGCTTGGAAAAATAACAAGATGCAGGGCTAGAAATGGAGTTAATGTTTTTATTTGTAAGCCTTTTCAACTGAATGTGTGTAACAAGGAACTAGAGCTGCAACTAACAATTATTTTCATCTACAATTTCCTCAGTTAATCAATTTATCATTTGTTCTATATCTATATCTGTTTTTGCAGGTAGATATACCTGTAAAAATGGTCATCACATAACAGGCCAATCCCCCAAAATATTCAGTTCACTGTAGAGTGAGACCAAGAACAGGAGCAATTCTCATTGAGAACTTATTTGGTCATTTTCCCTAAAAGTTACTTGAATGGTTAATTGATTATCAGATAAGTTTTTCAAACGTCTAACCGTTGCAGCTCTACATGAAACCACCAGAACCAGACTGCTTCTTGCTTACATTTTCTCTTTACTTCAAGAACCAATAAGAAAGATATCTGTATTAGCAGGCTACAATGCTATAAACAACATTTATAAAAATCCCTGTTGACAACTTGACTTTTCTATTTCAATTTGTCATGTGTGATGTCATGTTTTCTTCTTCTTGAATCCACCTTATGTAGAATTGAGAAATATTATTCACTACCTCCCACAGAACAACCCAGCACCTGTAGAAGTTGCCCCACTCTTAACTCCTATAGCTGCCTACATGAGTCTCCTAGTTAGGTAGTAGATCGTTTTGTAGTTAAGTAGCTTAGAGACAAGACTGTCTCCAATGTTTACAACATGCCATGCTGTTGCTCTGTGTTCCTCTGTGTACAATGATGGAGCTAAAACAAAAACAAGCACTGTGAATCAAATGACAGCCCTAATTATTCATTGAATTCATGAATTGTAACTGATCACAATTGGCATTAGTTATAGATTTTCCAAAGGTGTCTATGCCTCTCTTATTTTTTTTATGTCCGTATGTCTTCAGCTACTAGTACATTCTGCGTTGGGACAGAGAACGAGCCAGAGGGTGCACCTGATGACTGGATGAGGATTGCTGAGCTCCAGGCCAGGAACAAGGCCTGCCTTCCTCATCTGAAAAGCAGTTACCCTGTGGAGTCTGACGTTAGTAAAGAGGGACCCCTAGGGGACAGTCACTGAATTATTAGTAAAAAACAATGATGCATATTGAAATGTAATGCTCATTGGATACTTGTGAGTGTTTAAATTATGCTGCACTTTCTGCCTTTTGATACTTTTACCACTAGTGTTATTAAATCCCTCTCTTTCTGTTCCCGTAGACTGGCCGTAGCAGCACGTTCCTATTCACAGACGAAGAACTCCGTATGGGCGACCCCTCTGACACAATCCGTCGGGCGTCTGTGATGCCTGGCCAGCTGCAAGAATCTCTCTCCTCCCGTCGCCAATCCCTCATGATGGGACACACAGGTGCCGCAGCCAGTACTCTTTCTCATCGTCTGTCCTTGATGCCGGGCCAGCTGCCGTCAAAAACTGTCAGCTCCTCTCAGCTGAGGAGCCCAAAAGGCTCAAAGCGGTCTTCATCTACGTTGTCCGTTCATCAGACTTCGCCTGAGGTTGGTTTACATTAGTATGCTCAAGAATATTTATTCCATCTTGTGTCATTTAATATTTAAGCTATCAGATAAACGTTTCAAAGGCTACTGCTTTAATTCTCCAAGCTAAAAGTGGTTAGGTTTATTTCATTGGCAATCTAAAAGCTTACTATTGGTCATAATCATTGGACAGTTACAAAATTACACAAATTTAATACGAAATGACTTTGAGTATGAAACTAACTATATTTGTCCAAGGCCCAGAGTTTCTAAGCAGACACTGTAGGGGCTGGACTAAATTATATTACATTTAGATAAATTAAACATACATTTTCCTTTTCTTGCTAAATTAATGTTATTTTTATTACCCTATATCAGTATGAAGAAACTAAAGAATGTGGGAATTAATCCACAATGGTAACCACCAGTTGAATACTCCTGCTCTGTCTTTTTCCTAACTTGTCTTTTCCGGTCTCCATCTGACAGAAAAAGGTGAGGGCCAGCTGCTTCCCTCGCCCACTCACTCCCAAAAACAAGAATGTGATCAGTGGACCTTCCAGCTCTCAGCATCACACTGCTCTCACTCCAGTGAGTGTAATATACGCCCACACAAAAACACACCTAGAATTTTTTTATTCATGTTGTTGTTGAACGGAATCGTACACATTATGTTTTGCATGCTTCGCTAACTACTTTTTATTATTCTCTCAGGCTGACCGGAAGCAGTCTATGGTGTTCACTATTGACAACACACCTAAAAACAGCAACTACCTAAGGAAAGGGCTGAACAAACTACGTAGCTCCACCCGAAAATCTCCAGGCAAAAGTTCAAAGAAGTCGCCTGCTCAGACATCTGCACGCAAGTGCCATGAAAACATGCCCCCAGGCAATTCTCGTGCTGGGGTGGCACGAGCAGGCAGAACTGGCAGCATTAAGTCACCCCAGGTGGCCACTAAAGGACAGAGGAAGTCTCCACGAGGCACCAGCAGGACTACAAACTCTTCTGGACTGACTGCCAGTGCTCGCAAGGTAAACGGACACAGACAAAGGCCATTCAAGGTTTTAGAAGGCACACTTAAATAATGATTTTGTAAGATACCCCCTGGTAGAGCTGATAACTCGATGAATTCAAATGTAAGTTTTAAAACAATTCCATAAATAGCTGAATCGTATAATCGAGATTTAAACGATGTGATTTGTTGCACATTGCCGTCACGTCGATATGTACGTCACCTCACCTCCATCCTTTAGTGTGATTAGCTTGATCAAATAAAAACAAACCATACATGGACCCACTTGTGAGAACAGCACCGCCCACATGGTCCAAAACTCCTGTTGGGTCCTTGAATTGCAGGCAGTTGGGCCTTTTTTAAAATTGTCCTTGAATTTGATGTTTAAGAAATAGTGTGAACGCTGTGTTTAAGTGCACCAGTTCCCTGGTATTGTGGCTGTATCAGTCATCATCTGTGATGTTAACACAAAAGATGTTAATTCAACTACACAATGTTTTTGAGGCTGTTGTTGGGGATGTTGTATTTGACAACCTGATTTTGAGGCGTTCTATTGCTTTGTTTACTTCATATATGTAAATTGGGTAAGACTTCTTTTAGAAACATGTAAAATACTACTGCAGATGGATTATGGGTGGGCATCGCTTATTAGTGATCTAACTAATGAAGCTGACGATGAAAGAGAACTTGAAATGTGTGTTCAGTCATTATATCTCAGTAACTGATGAATCTGAACACTGTTTTCAGAATTGTGTGTCTGTAAAGACAGGAAATCTTCCTGGAAGTCAAAGAAGGTCAATATTTCTCATTAAAAGTGATTTTTATTTATTTAATGTGGGAACTTTTGGTGGCTGGTTGTTGGTTCTCACATTATGCCATAATAACTATGGGTGTGTTCACATGTCCACATGTTTCTGTCATACCACACTACACACTGGGAGCACTTTCACTAAATTCTCTGTGAGCTGTAGTGTAATCATTTTTTCTTTTTTTTTTGTCCCACAGATGATGAGGATGAAGTTGTGAAGAGGCTGGTTCTCATCTGTCTGCACTTCTGCTACTTTACAGTTTCCTTTTCCAAATGGAATTTAATTTTTATATTTTTGTTGTCCTTCTGGACAAAAAATTTTACAATCATCTCCCTTAATTTCTTTATCTTCTTAATATGTCATATGTTTGTTAATAAAAACATTTAAAAGAAACGTTGTGGGAAAGCCTCATAATTGAGCCCTTTAACCAGTTCTCAGAGTTGAGTCTGTGACTCTGAGTGCAGCTCAAGGAGGATCCAGGTAATCTTGGGAGAGATGTTCACCTAATGTTTAAGGACTGGTTCATATTTTAATGCATCATAATATTCAGAAAACATCGTAGTAACTTGTGTACTATCCCATAGCTTGTTCTATGAATTAATGATTTATGGTTTACTGTCGGTTGAAGATGGGGTCAAAGCCATTTTGCACTGTGTGACAGACTGTCGTGTTTAAAGTACCAGTTTGTGAGATTTAGTGTGATTCTTATTTTGAGGTGATAATATACTAATGAAAACTTACTTATGGATATTATATTATATTTCTGAAAATAGATCCTCCTAAATGTTACACACTGGACATTTTTTAATTGTGTTATAGGTTTAATTCTGACAATTTGCTCTCGGGGCCAGCTACCAACGTTAAAAGTGAGCTGACAGACTGAGCTATGTCAATTTATTTTTGGTCCTTTTTGCTCACTTGTTAGAGCGAATTACCATATTTATTACAAAGGAAGTCAATTTTGACTAATAGATTCCCTGAATTTAAAGCACTTATTTCCACTTGTAGAGCAGCTTAAATAGTCAAAACACCAACTTGAACATTTTTTAATTTCTGTCAATAATCACATAAGCTCAGTTTTCTTTTATCAGGTTAACTCTCACTGTGGCAGTGACAATGGTATTAAGATAAATCTACTGGGGATTGTCATTAAAAAAAAATAAAAATCGGTCCAAAGAAAAAATACAAAATTGTTTCCAAGAACATTTAAGTCCAAATCAATCCGTAATTCATACCATTACAGTGTAATGTGAATAATATATATGTATATATATTATAGTAACTCAGCACCTGAGAACGACGTCACTAGAGTCCAGACTCACTAACGCAACGATTACACTTCCGCTATGCTCCTCAAACCTTCAGAATAAAATTCCAATAATTTAGAATTTTTTTTTATGTAGTTTTAATTTAACTCCATTTCATCATTATACCTTGTAAATGAAAACACAGTCTACTGATTGGTGTAAACAATTAAGATCACAAAATTCTGTGCATCATATGAAGGCTAAACAATGGACTGACAGTGTCAAAGCCAGTTAGGGAGTAGCATAAATTAGTATGCACTAAATGCACAAACTATATGTCTGCACCTGACACAACCTGTTTCATTAGGCTGTCATTTAATCTGTCTGTTGCTGTGTAAGAACAAACAAGTTAAAGTCTGCCAGATGATAATGTAACTTTAGATGTTGTATAATGGTGTAAAAACTCATTTAATATCTGATTAAATAATCACATGTCACCACTGTAAAATTGGGAGACATTGAGAGCTGATCCCTGAAGTGTTTTTTTAATCTTGCACAACTACAGATAAAATTACAGTGGACAGGTTAGACTATGGCTGATTACGAGTTCATATATTGTTTTCATACACACATACACGATAAATGATGACACAAGGGAAAAGTGTATGTCAGGATGAATATTCTGAGACATAATTTGTGAACTTATTGTGGCTTCTGCTTGTGAATGTCTGCATTATAATTTGTGAACTTATTGTGGCTACTGCTTGTGAATGTTTGCATTATAATGTGTGAACTTAGTGTGGCTTCTGCTTGTGAATGTTTGCATTATAATGTGTGAACTTAGTGTGGCTTCTGCTTGTGAATGTTTGCATTATAATGTGTGAACTTAGTGTGGCTTCTGCTTGTGAATGTTTGCATTATAATGTGTGAACTTAGTGTGGCTTCTGCTTGTGAATGTTTGCATTATAATGTGTGAACTTAGTGTGGCTTCTGCTTGTGAATGCTTGCATTATAATGTGTGAACTTATTGTGGCTACTGCTTGTGAATGCCTGCATTATTTGTGGCTCATTATGCTTTTACTCTGAAGGATGTGTTCCGGAAGTGTTCCGCTGTTGTTGGCGGAACAGAAACCGAGTCGAAAACGAAAGTTAAAGCTGACAGTGAGGCGGAGAGGAGTTTAAACAGACCCCCGGTGACATTATCGAACATTTAAAAGTTTGTTTTATCCGTATGTATTATTTGTTAGGAGAATATTACTCTCTAACGTTAACTCTGTATCGATAAGCGCGGTCATGCTAACTAAAATAATGTTAGCATAACCGTGAGGGCGGGTAGTGGCAGCCTGTTGTGAGTAATGTTAGCACGGTGGATCCATTTCTTGGATAAAGTTACTGCGATAAGTAAGACTTAAACTCGCTGTGAGTGTGTGTCCCCCCCCCCACACACACACATACACACACAAACATGGACCCGGACACTGAAGTTGAAAGGTGAGGTTTGGTGTTTTCCATCTTTAACCTGCTCTCACTTTACACGGTTTTTACTGCACTTCCGTCACTTGACGTTAAAGCACCTTAGCTTTAATTATCAGTATTATCTTAGTTGTTTGTTTACTTAGCTGACTTTGTATAAGGTAGCTCTATTGTTTATTATATAGTATAAAGTATTAATTCTAATCTCTCACACTTTTAAAGAAGTTATAACTATTTCAACTGTTTCACATCTTGTTAAACTACTTCTGTAAACATCCACCTGACTTATCAGATTGTGTGTTCTAGTAAAATATTATTACTCATTGATTACCTATTGGTCTAACTTTCCTTCTTTTTCGTCATCCTCAGCATATTTAGGATTGGGAATGAGGAGGATGAGGAGGAGAAGAAGAAGTGGATGAGGCCTCCCTCCAGCTATGGTTCAATGAAGAGTGAGAGCGAGAGTGATGTGATGGAGGAGGAGGAGGAGGGACATGAAGAAGTTGTTGCTGAGGCCGTTTCTTCCTCATTGCCTATGGTCCTACCTGGATCGAGTATTAAGGACGGGACAGGGTACTGTGTCTTTGTTTAATAGTTAATAGTCAACTTGTCTGCGTGTCTATTTTTCTTAAAAACTAATGGTTGGAATAGTTTACTGTCCTCTGTGTGATGTTTTTATGTTCAAGGTTGCTTTAAATGACGTAGAAAGTGCTAATAGGAGTTAACCAGGTCTTACCAGGTAGATGTCCCTGTTTCTGTTGCTAGGTTGCAGATGATCCGCTCAGAGTCTCCAGAGACCCTCTACACAATGACCACTCAGCAGACCAAACCCCCGGGGGCTGTTGTCATTGACACCAGGTGGAGGACACACACTCTAACACACACACACACTCACACACACTCTAACACACACTCACACACACTCACTCTCACACACACACACTCACACTCACACACATTGTTGTTCATCATAAATCTGGAAAACGTGAAGCAAAAGCTATGTTTACTTGTTGTTCCTGAGCTGATGCACATTGGTGTCAGGATTTGTTTGTTTGTTCCTATGTTAATTAAGATTTCACACATTGAATTAATTATATAAATGTTATATATGTTGTTAATGTATTAATATCAGCAGAAATATTCATTCATTCACATTGCTCCCAAATTTGAAAGTAGTATGTGACTAAAAAATGCAACTTAAAGGACAATTCCGGCGCAAAATGAACCTGGGGTTAATAACACATGTGTACCGAGTTGGTCCGTTCTCTGGGATATGTTTTCATGCTAATCGACCCGTGACCGGTTTTAGCACAAACCGCTAATTAGCTTATAACGCTAGTCAACGGGGCACAGAGTAACGTGAAAAGAAATCACTTTTTATACCACTAACAAGGCTCAAAATAGCACCACACTTACACGGTAGCATAATGAGGATCCCTACGTATAAACCGAAGCATTGAGAACTTTGTAAGTGTACAGACAGCTTATTAAAAAGATAGTTTAGAACAACAGTAGCGTTCACGTATACAGGCAGGCGCTATCTTGAGAAAACAGTCAGGGGTTAGGTCATTCATGCAGATCAATAATCAAGACTTACAGCTGTCGATGTGAACTAAAACAAATTTAATTTGCTCAATATATCAGAAATAATCGCACTGATCTTGTCCCTCCGGTATGAGTCGCTGCCTCCAATTTATTTTCGGGACATTGAAAAAAGTTTCAAGTACAGCTGTGTTTATCAGAGAGGGGAAATCTGTACTGACTGTACAAAACACTGCGTCTCTTGGGTGTCGCGACGCAACAGGTCCCACTCCGTGCAACACAGGCACTCCTCTTCGGTGGCCATGGCTTCACAATGTCCGCAGGTACACCACCAGTTTCCTGAAGTAAGAGGCTGTGTTGTGGCATTGACTACCGGTAGCTCTCTCTCTCTCTCTCTCTCATGGCCCTTTCACGGAGCTCCCGCAGCTCATCGTCTGTGCTTTCTTCCGGAAACAACGTTTCACGCAAGATTCACTTCACATCTCCGTGGAAACGTTGTTGCCGGAAGAAAGCACTGAGCGCAACAGAGACTAGTGCTTCCACAGGATACACACTAACGAGATGGCCGATTATTCAACTGAATTTGAAGACATCGACAACAAACCCTTTCAGTTCGATGGACGTCCTTATCTTTTCAAACCGGAATATACAGACGAAGAGCTGCAGGAGCTCCGTGAAAGGGCTACGAGAGAGAGCTACCGGTAGTCAATGCCGCAACACATCCTCGTACTTCAGGAAACTGGTGGTGTACCTGCGGATATTGTGAAGCTAATATATGGCCACCGAAGAGGAGTGCCTGTGTTGCACGAAGTGGAACCTGTTGCGTCGCGACACCCAAGAGACGCAGTGTTCTGTACAGTCTGAAGATTTCCCCTCTCTGATAAACACAGCTGTACTCGAAACTTTTTTCCATGTCCCGAAAATAAATTGGAGGCAGCGACTCATACCGGAGGGACCAGATGGACAGTTATCCACTGAGTAAGTACACTAGACAAGTTGTGTTTTACATCGGTGCGATTATTTCTGATATATTGAGCAAATTACGTTTGTTTTAGTTCACATCGACAGCTGTAAGTCTTGATCATTGATCTGCATGAATGACCTAACCCCTGACTGTTTTCCCAAGATAGCGCCCGCCTGTATACGTGAACGCTACTGTTGTTCTAAACTATCTTTTTAATAAGCTGTCTGTACACTTACAAAGTTCTCAATGCTTCGGTTTATACGTAGGGGCCCTCATTATGCTACTGTGTAAGTGTGGTGCTATTTTGAGCCTTGTTAGTGGTATAAAAAGCGATTTCTTTTCACGTTACTCTGTGCCCCGTTGACTAGCGTTATAAGCTAATTAGCGGTTTGTGCTAAAACCGGTCACGGGTCGATTAGCATGAAAACATATCCCAGAGAACGGACCAACTCGGTACACATGTGTTATTAACCCCAGGTTCATTTTGCACCGGAATTGTCCTTTAATGGACCTGAAAGATTGTGAGTTAAATGTACTTACATAGAGTTCAAGTTTTTTATTTGAATGTCTCTTAAATGAGACCACTAGACTTTAATTTATCATGCATGTTTTTACGTAAACATTCGATTTAAACATTAATTTATTTTAAATGATTTATATATATTTTTACCAACTTTATACTTTAATATTAAACATGTTCTATTTACCTATACAAAAGTTTACTTTACTTAAAAAGTCTCTGTCTAGAAATGGATGTTGCAAAAGCTGTTGATCCTTGGACGATATCTGCATTGCACTTTATTAACTTCTCGTTGTCTCTTAGGTCGTCTGATCTGGAGGATTATTCAGAAAACGAGGAGGAGGATATGGATGAAGTTTTAGTTACTCATTCCCCAGAACCACCTGAGCCTGTTGAACCAGATGACACAATGCAGATTGACGAGAACAGCCAGCCAGGCAGACTGCACCCAGAACAGGACCTGCCCCACATATTTAAGGTTGGTGCTTCACAGTCGGTCTGCAATGGAAAGATTTAATTGTTTTGGACTTTTTTTGACCTGATGATGCATTTTTAACTTAGAATATATAATAATAAGACTGTTACACACCCAAATAACAGTCCATTTCCCAATGCATGCCTTGCTTTTTTTACATATAAAAAACTGATAAAATGTAATAGTTGCATCGTGATTTGGACTAAAGGGAATCCCACATCAGCAAAACAACAACCTTTCTCTGTCTCTCTCTTTCTTCTGTCTGCAGTGTATCCAGGCTGCTGTGACGGGCCTCACCAAGGAAGAGCTATGTAAATTTAAGATGTGGTTTTACCAGTGGGAACCAGGCATAACCCTGCAACAGGTGATGGAGGGAGACATTCTTGATTTTGTGGACAGGATCCTGGAAGTCCTTGGTAAGAAAACTCAGCAATAGTACATATACAGTGTGAATGCTACAAATAGAGCTAAAAGTTAGAGAACTGACTTTTGACTGTTGTATTTGTAAGTATATTTTATATGTAAGATAATTGTAAAATTACTGGAAAATTACTCATTATGAAATTAAGGATAGTACCTTGTGAAGTGCACAGGTACTGGTACACTGTCAGTGATTTCTTACTATTTTTTATTTTTTATTGAAACTTTCTTCTGCAGGCTTGTATCGTTCCTTGTTGCATACAATAAGCACCCTAGAAAGTATCAACAAGAAACCAGAGGCAGAAGAACTACGCAATCAGTGCAAGAGAGGCAAGTAAACACTGCTTTAATCCTACCACACTGGCTGATACTGGTGAAATCTGTTCGTGCTGAGATATGCTAATTAAATCTGAAAGTTGTGGATGTGTCTTTGCTACTTACATAACATGGGCGCTGGGCATGAAAATGACAACTGCCTCAGTTTTAAGATAGCAATGCTTTGAGATAGGGCCCTAAGACCCACTATCCATGGGCAACGTACACTGGATGGAAGTTGCTCCCCTGATGGATGTGTTATTGATTATATCAAATATATAATATAAATATGAACAGAAATTATATTACAATATCCCTGCATTTAGTCAGTACGCAGCTAAAGAATTCAGGGTTGATTGTGGCGTGTCTTTTCTGGTGAGAATGTGTGCAGCAGCCTCACATAAATGAGCTGTAGATGTCTGACTTTCCTCTTTATGTTTCTCCACCACCAGCGTTGACCCGTTTTCATCTGAAGCAATATTTGATCAGAAAACACCAAGTCATCCGTGAGGGGGTCGTTCGAGCCGGGAGGCAGAATCTTCTAGAAACTGTCTACGTTGAGCCCGAGATTTCCACCTGTGGTTATGGAGGCGTCGACCCCTCCCATGAGTTCCGACCCCACCCTCCGACTCCTCTCCAGGTCCCCAGTGCTGACACCTTTGTTAGTGTGAACAATCTGTTCAGACTGCAGAAGGAAGATGGCCAGCCGGTGAGGACGGTGCTCACCACTGGGATTCCAGGAATTGGTCTGGGTGTCTCTGTGGCGAAATTCTGCATGGACTGGGCCGAACTGCGCGCCAATAAGGTGAGTTGGCAAAAACAACAACAACAACGTGATTTTCAGTGAAAAAGCCCTGCACACTACCTGCTCAGCTCCCTGTAGGAAACATGCAAATGGCTCTTTCTCATAAGTAATTGTTGAAGTTTTGTTTTTTGACTTTTCTGTCCTGTGACTGACACAATTTCCCTTTCCATCTTCGTTCAGGATCTGCAGTTTGTCATCAAACTTTCTTTCCGAACTTTCTGGTATCTGCGAACCAAAACCCCACTCCATTCAGAGAAGGTGTCCATCATGGAAGTGATAGAGTATTATCATCCTCAGTGCAAAGGCATGAAATTCCTGGAGGAAGAGGATTGTAAATTTCTCATCATAATGGACGGATTTGATTGTTACCAAGCTCCTCTGGACTGGGAGGTGTGCCATCTACACACATACACCTGAAACCCACATTTACCATATAAAGTTTAAAATCACCTCCACGTTGAATTATTGTCCTTTAGCAAACACTCAGCAAATCATAATGATGGATTCTAAATTATAACTCATAAGAATAGAGACATTTTTGATGCCAATATCCATTGATGGAAAAAGCTTTTGTTCATGTCAGTAATAGGTAGGGCAAAATATAAATAGCCAGGCTACTTACTGGTTCCTAATCTAACAAATGACTAGAAACTCATATATTTGTCTATTCTGCCTTGTTTTCTTCTCTCCAGAATGCCCCAGTAATAAATGACAATTACACCCAAGCACATCCTGACGTCCTGATTGTGAATATTATCCGAGGCACTGTGCTTCGAGGTGCCCGCATCTGGATCCTGGGGAGACGGGCGGCTGTCTCGCAAATACCATCTCAATTCATAGACTTGGTCACGGAAATACAGGGCTTCAGGTATGTGTGTAGATCTACTGTGTGTCTGTCTTTTCTATATATGTGTGTGTGAGTTTTTATTTTTTATTTTCTTTATCTTATTATTGTATTTGCTGCTGTTTTTGTGTGCACTTAATGTATATGCCATTCTGTAAATATGTTTGATCATGTAAGACTAATACTGCTGAAATGGTACAGCCGCAGAATTTAATGAGTTAAATTCATTTCAACCTCTTTCAGTCCCGTCTGTTTAAGTCCAGTTTTATCCGTTTCCCCCCTGTTTTCTCCAGTGATGCGATGAAAGATGAGTTCCTGACTAAGCGCTTTTGCGACGCAGAGCTAGCTGCAAAGATTGTGGCACATTACAAGCGTGTCCCGACGCTCAGACTAATCACTCGCCAACCCTTTGTCTGCTGGATGGTCGCCACAGTGTTCGAGCGCTGCTACCGTTATCGGGGCTATGGGGTACATCCCCCCAGGCTGACACCATTCTACGTCACCATTTTGATCGTCCAGATCAATCGCAGGCTGCAGTTCTACTATGACATGCCGGACAACGCCCTGGTAATGTGTGTTTGTCTGTGGCTTTTTTGGCTTTTATGTTCTTTAAATTGTGTTCATAATGACTTAATTTACTACTGCCATTCACATACCTTTTTAAAAGTAATCTCAACCTTTCATTACCCATTAATCATTTTATTTGGTACTAGAATGCTGTTCAAATTTAGTCATTTATTTTATACAAGTAGATATTTATTAATCGTAGTTTGGGGGATACAATATCTACAGTTGACCTGAAATCATTGTCTTGTTAATGAAGCTCATTTGCACTATTTGTTGAGTATTATATTATATATAGTTTTTGTGTTTTTTGTCTTCCTTCACATTACAATTTAGTGCAACAATAATCCAGTATCAACAAAACCAAAAATGGAGCTGAACTGACTTAAATGTGTAAACATTTGTCAAGATAAGCTAATGAATATCTCAACTTGAACGGCAGAATTTATCTTGTCGATATCCTCTTTCCACTCAGAAATGGTCCAATGACGACAGGAACCTATTGACAAAGTTGGGGAAGATGGCCTTTAAGATGCTGGAGAGGAATACCAGTGTATTCTATGAAGAGGACGTGAAGGAGCACGGTCTGAATGTGACCGAGGTGACCGTGTTCTCCGGCATGTGCACTGAGCTCCCCGGTGCATCCTCAGATGGGCGGAGGGTGTACTGCTTTATACACTTCACCTTTCAGGTAAAACTATTTCCTTCACACAGACGCTAGAAGGCCGTTTTAACATTTGTCTGCTGAAGGGGGAAGTTTCTCGGTGTATGTACGAGCATGATTTTGTGACATGTGACACCTGGTTTGGTCCAATATGCAATCTAAACAAGTGTGATAGTGTGGAAACTTAACTTACAGTGTCACAACAGGTGATCCTGACTTAATCCTACATCTCAACTCGGTCAGAAACTTACGTATTGATTTTGGCTGACTTCTCCAGATATTACTATTAGCACTATGCTGTGTACTAAACTTAGTTATCACCACCTGACGTAAAAATTTAAAACCAATATTAACAATTAGAAGCCCCGGATGCCCAGGTGGTCAGAATATTATGGCTGATTGGTGTATATTGACTATAAACTAAATAATATCAGAACATAAATAACATTACATATTTTACCACCTAAAGGTATGTATCTTAAGTGGCTCTTACAGCGTGTTTCTCTGTTTCTTTCTGCATTGATAGATTGGTTTAGAGGTTGTTCAGAAGTGAGTTTAGCTAGTCACTCAAAATCAGATTTGAAACATTTATTTTTACAACAAAATGTGCTATCAAAAATATTTTACCCTTTGTGCTAGAATGGAAAAGAGAGGCATGTAAATGTCACATTTAGAACTTTAATGAATATATGTCACTGGGTGTTTGATAATTGATGAAGAACTCTAGCTGAGAGACGCATGCCCTTACCAGGCTGCCTGGCAACCAGGATATCCCCAAAAAATCACCCTATGTCTTCTCTCCTGCAGGAGTTCATAGCTGCTCTGTACGTCTTCACGATGTTTCGCTCAGAGTCTAAGAACGTTCTGGCCTCTGGGGGGTTGCACATGCCCAAGCTCTTCACACCAAAGGATCAAACCAAATCAGTAGCAGGCCTGGTCCAGTGTGCCCTGGAGCGAACCCTGAGCTCCCCGCTGGGCCACTATGACATGTTCCTGCGCTACCTGTGTGGCATGCTTTCTCCGGACTGCCACGACAATCAGCTGGGCGGGTGTCTCTACCGCCACAACGCGCCAAAGGTTGGTGGACTGGATGAGGCGCGGCGGCTGCTGGAGCACGCCATACAGACCGCTCAAGAAAACAATAGAGACCGGGTGGAAAACTTAAAGGAGTGCCTTAGAGAAATGAGTCAGGAAGATGAGTGAGTTAGATTGCATCATGAAAATCATCTTCAATGGATGAAAGAGAAGTGTCTGTAGCAGCTTTGTTATATTTTGTCATAAAATCAGTGATCCAAGTGTAATGCTTTACATGCTAAAAACACTCAACAGAACTTGAACTGACTTCTGAAGTCTGTCATTTTGCCTTTGATAACATAAGATTTCATTCAAGAGAAGTTTTGATTAAGGGATGAAAGAGTTTGTGTCCGCACTGTTAGTGCTGTACCAGATGAAATAAATGTTATTTTATGCATTCCAGTACAGTGGAGTTAATGCAATACTACATTATTCCTGCCATATCTTACAATAAGCACTAAAGAAAATGCATTTTCCAAATATTTCATCCAATTTGTCATTTGTTATTTAGGTATGTGTGTTTTTTTTTTTTTTTTGCCCCATAAACAAATGAACTGTTTAGAGAGTCTAAATACTATTTTGTACTATCCCTTCAAAGCATAACCACAGTAACTACGCTAACAATGTAACATCTTCAACCTTTTTTTTACTGTCCAGCCAAATGTGTTTTATATCGAATCACAGTTATGGGCTTATTAAATTTATATTCTCTAGGTAATTTTTTTATTGTTTAAAATTAACCAGTTATTTGACCTGTGGCCCCCAAACTGCAGATACTGCACTACTACTGCAATACTTTGTATTAGCACTCGGGTCCTCAACCTTTACCATCACAAGAACCGTTTTGGCCAAAGGAATTCAATTTCTCTGGAGCCGCAAGATGTGTGTTTCCTCACCGCAGATAAAGCATACCAGTAAGCCAGCAGCGTTGGTGGTGAGAGCAAATTAATCTGTCTATGCACCATTAAATTCTTTATTTTGTCCTCTAGACTAATATTTCTTACTGTTTCATGTGTAAAAAGTTTATTATTATTTATATTTTATAATTATTTTGTGGCACATTTATTTTAATTAGCACAGTAATACCTTGTCCTGTCTACCTAACTATCTCTAGCGCAGTAATATCTGAACTATTATTAGTATCTGCTACAACGAGCTCAGCTAATAATTCACAGCTGAAATCAGTAAGAGTTCCCAGTGGAGAACATGAACCTTGTCTTCGTTTTGATTCATTGTACATTGTCCTGAAATTGTCTAGAATACAGGATTTTATAGACACTGAAGTTACTGCAGCCGAAGCTCTGAGAAACCAGGAGAGAGCGCAGTAACTGCTCTTACTGCGGTTTGCTTGAGGGTTGGATTTTTAAGTTTTTTTTACATTGTTTTTTCTCTAAGATGCAGCCAGACTGAACTTAGAGGATTTGTCACAAGATAAAACATAGGATAAGATATTTAAAAGTTCAAAATCAGTCAGAACTGCGGTTTTCCTTTGTAGGGCAGTATAGTATGAAACAGATAGATCCATCTGTATATACGCAAGTGAAACAAAATAAGGTGTTATTAGTGTCACCACACCAGTTCAGTTGTTGGAGGAAACAACCTGCAAGGACATTTTAATTTATTTTGTCACTGAGAGGCTCGGCAGAGGTTGGTAGGTACAATACAAATGGCATCTGGATGAAATTAATAGTATGGGTGAATGATGAGCTTTATTTTAAAATAGGTTTGGCTTTTAATCATACTGTGTTTGCACATGTGCCTGTTTATGTGTATTTGGGTGCATACATGCTTTTGTACTTGATTAATTCATAAATTGGCTCTTCTGTCGACCTTTTCTGCCACAATTCATCAATTCAAAATAGATTTTGTGATACTGAATCTTTTTGGCATTTGTGTGAACATTTGTTTATCTGATTGTTTTTAGTTTTCATGTTTCCACCGGACTCAGAAGTAATAAGACCGACTAAAGGGTGAATTCCAGCAATTAACTTGCTCTCTGAAAAAAATAATACTTCAGGCTTTTTGTCTGTGTGTATCTGAGAAATGATTTTATTATTATTTAAAAAGAAATATCAGGTAAAAAAAAAAAAACTACTCCTACAAACAACAGTGTTTTACAGTTGTGTGGAATCTTATTGGGTGGCTAATATTAAATATATATATAAACCAAAATAAGAAACATTAAGAGATGAAATTGTTTATTAGATGAATGATAATGAACATGAAGCACCTGCATTACATTACTTACAATATACTTATATATGTGTGTATTGGTTTTACAGGGAAGGAAAGCTAAGCAGTCAAAAAGTGAATGTATTTAAAGATAATTCATATCAAAATGAATAGTGGAAGAAGTTCCAGTGTCTCCAGAATGCCACACAGTCTTTATGTAAGAGGATCTGCAGAGATATAAGAGACAGAACACACAGTGAAAGTTCAATTCAGCTTCTGTCAACATAGAAACATAAACAGTTGTCGGGTTACATACCGCCACAATGGTCATCATCATGGCCAGACCTTTCATTCATAGCTGGAAAGATCAAATAAAGATCAAATTTAATAACAATCTTATGGCAGATTGGGCCTTAAATTAAACAACAGCTTACCTTGGCAGATGAAAGGTAGCTGCTCGTGGCAGCAGGCGTCCTGCCACTTGAGTTCGTTTGACCCGTTAATTGTGACCCAGATGATCTTTCCACAGTGGTTGTTTAAGCAGTCAACAGGAAAATTGCTACTCCACTGCTTGCAAGATTCTTGAACTTGTGGCCCTGAAGTCCACATCCAGGGGGGGGCTTTGCCAAAGATGGACCGCTCCAAGCCGATCCACGCCCCATTCTTCATGCTGTCATTCTTGTGTGCGAGGAGAGATTTCACTGCGTTCTGCACTGTCTGGTTGGTGATATGAACCAGGGAGGAATTTTCCCTTTCGTCCTGGCAGTACTCCAGGGCATCAATCCAGCTTTTGGCTTCCTGGTAGAACGTGAGACCTTCATCACCACCTTGAAAAAAAAGGTTGACACTGACAGTTTGTGCATATCCCCACATCCTCTGTCTCTCTGTTTCTAACGTATAACACTTTATATTAAGGTACACATATTCACCATTAACTAGTTGCTTATTAGCATGCATATTAGTTGCATATTGATTGTTGATTGAAGTTGTTCTATATGAATTATGATCTTAATGTAGTAGTCTTATGAGGTGGCAGTACCACAAGGATACTCATTCTGTCTGAATAACACTTATTCTTGTGCAACAAAACACAAAACTACAAGTGTTATTAGTGTCCAAATAACTCTAAATGAAGTCTTTATAACTCCGAAAATGTCCCCCAATCTAAAGTGAGGTCTTAAATCAGAACAAAATATTTCATTCTTCAGTATGGGCCAAATTCAAAAGACATTGAATTTTTATTTAATTTGAAGGTCTTGCTTAGTTATGATCTGTCTTTAAAATGGGAAACATATTCATATATTTGGTCTTAGATTTGTAGTTTTGTAGGCACAATTATTTTGTAAATAAAGATACTGTAAAAGAATGAATAAAGATAAGTTGTATTTTAAACATGAAATTAAGTCACTTGCCATTTATTTCTGTGCAGTTCCTCAGAGGGTACCCTGAGACAGATTTGTCTTTTAATTTTATGTGCAGCTCCTCACTTGATGAAAACAGGAAACATTTTCCTTTATCATTTTTCCTTCCTTTCCTTTATTTGGGGAAAAATAAATAAATTAAAACAAAATTATTGAATCCAATGTAGTGTAGTGATGTAGTGTTATATAGTGTGATGTCTGTGAACATAAATTAGCTGACACAAACATGTTGGCTCATTGTTTTTTCTATGACCAGTAATCCACATAACAGATATTTACTTTGTATGAGATGTAAAGTATTCGCATTTTTCATCTTCAGTACAGCATCTCCTACAGCCAGCTTTAGTTGTGCCTTCGATCTGTGTTTTTTTACCTTTGGAAAAATCCACACCATAGAAAAATGTCCGTATACAACCTGTTAAAAAAAAACAAGAATCCAGAAAAAAACATAATATAGTTTGTGTACAGACAGATTTAAATATTTTCTAATTCAGTCATTTCCTCTAAGTCTTCTCAATAAATCAATTTCTCCTTAAAATATGTAGAAGAAGTAGCGCTCACATCTTGTTGGGCTTCGTATCAGGATTAAAGTGAGCAAATTACATTTTTCTTAAGATATATAAAGACATATAAGACAAAGACATTTTAAACATTGAAGGATCCTCTCAGCAGTAACTAATGCTGCTCCTCTGATAAGCTTCATTTTAAAAACTGGGTACTGGTTAAGTTAAAAACAATGTTCTGATTTGAGTGTGGAAAAAACACACAAAAGGATTAAAGTGCTCACCTCTTGTTACGTTCAGATACAGGACTGGATCATTATTGTTGTTACCGTAGCAGATGAAGGTATCGTTGAGTGAGTTGATAGTGACCTTGTCGTTCAGGAGGTTGGAGGACATGCCCAGTGTATTGTCAATAACAGTGTCACCCAAGACACTTTTGCAACAACTTTTAACTTTCCCTCCTCCAGTAAATTTAAAAGGGATTCCCTCTCGGAGCCATATCTGTGTTGCTGAAAACCCCAAAGGCAGCTGGATTGTTGCTGTAACATGAGTGAAACAGATGAGGAAATATTTACATTTGATAGAAAATATTGTAAATATTTGTTTTAATAATAATTTAATAATAATAATTTTTATAATAAACAGCATTTTTATTTATTTATAAGAACAATAAAACACTCCAGTGATATAAACAGTGATAAGACAAAGGTAAAAATAATTATCTTGGTGGGATCTCCATTAATGTTTCTGAAGACAACTTACCCAGCAGCAGTGACAGATGGATGAACTGTGCCATGGCTACTAAAACTAAAGAAAGAAAGTTCACAAATTGAGGAGTCTGTAATATCGCTGGCTGTCAAAAACAAGGGTTTCTGCTTATTTGTCTCCCCAATATACAACATGAAAAACTACCACTGCCCTAATATTCATATATGAATATTCATGTTCATATTTCCACTTGCAGTAGTTAATGTAATATACAGTTTGTTCAGTAAAATTATTTTAAGTATTTTGATTTTAGTTTTATTTTATTTTTAATATGACAGCCACAAAGATAGATCTGTCTGTGTAACAAAACACTTTTTTCATTATTTTTTCTGTCATTTCTATTTGACTGAATTTGTATTTAGTAGCTATACAGGATTAAACACCAACATCACAGCATCAAGCTCATCTTAATAATGTTTGAATCTGTCAAAAACTTACCCAACAACTGAAGACTTTCCACAATGTGTTTGGACGGTGGGTAGGGAAATGTAAACAGTCGTCTTCATAGTACATCATTTTATAGAGCTGCTGACCCTCTCCGCCTTTTGACCAAAGAGACACACCCACACCAGGGTGCTCATTTATTTTAAAGGGATTAAGACTTTTAATGTGAATGCCTAGAGGCACTGTGGTTGTGTAATCTGTGTGTTATCTGTAACACTGGGTTTATGTACAGTGTACATTAGTAGCAGTGCTGGGCAATACTAGTAATAATATTACTGTAAGTAGTAGTGTAACTAATAACTGTTGGCGGGGAGTAATAAGTACATGTATAATATTACTTAAAGAATAATGGGTAATAAATAAAAACATTTTTGAGTAACTAGCCCAACACTGATTAGTAGAGTACCAATGTGAGGAGAATATCAGTCCGGCTCCCACTCAAACTTCACTATTCTTGTCTACCAATACAGTTTTAAGGTAAACACATGTGATGGTATTGGATGGTACATACACACATCCGATATGCCAAAGCAAATGACAGCGCATCCAAAACCTGACAGGATTGATATGATGCACATAAATCAACATTACAGCCATGTATGTTTGTCTTTTGGTTTGTCTTTGTGTGTTGTTTCTGTCTGAAGCTCTTTGGAAACACGTTTCTCCCACTAACTGAATACACAGGAAAGATCAACACATATTTAAATTCTATGAAAGAGGTCTCTGTACCCATCCGAAAAGGATAAAGAGCGACTGTTTCCACAAGCCACATGCAAATCCAAGTTCAGAAGCCTAACAGTGAGAAAGTTTAGTTTAGTCATACTAGATGCAAATATCTGTTCTATGGAAGATGCATGTAATCATGTAAATGTATGCAGCAGGTGCAATGTTGACTTATTTCCTGCCAAATTAAGTTAAGTTAAATAATTTATCTTATCAATTGCCCTTGTTGGAAAGACGAGCAGAGCATCGAAAACTCGCATTGCTGAACGCAGAATCACAATTAGATGCAGAAACATAAATGATCCAGTAGCAGCTAACTTTGTTGAACACAATCACCCTATTTCCTCACGAAGATATATTGCGACCGAGAAGGTATCACTTACCCCATGAGGGGGAACACTACTGGATTCACTCTGCCCTCATGGGTTGAATATAGATTATGTCTTGAGGTGTTTCTGTAATATACCTTTATTTATTAGATATTTAGATCAAGTTGTTTCTGATGTTCATCTAGATCTGCTGCTCTTTTATCTGGATATCTATTATGCATCTGTTCAAAGTGTATGTATTTATAACATTTGTGAAAAATGTCATTTAGTTTGAAGCAATTTGATTGGCTTTAGCACCTGTTGTGACATGATTGTGTAATCACCATCAGATGTGTAACTAGATACCAGTGCCTGTGTCTGAATATGATTGTTAATTTTGAAGAAGGCCGGAGAGCTAAAACGTCATCAACTAAATAAAACTGAAATGCAAATGGAGCAAGAGTGTGAAACACTTCCTTCTTACAATGTTGAACAGGAAAGCTGTTGAATCACCAGCTCATTCAGCCTCCATCCAGAGGTGGAGAGTAATAGTAAGTACTCAATAGCAAGTATACCTTTGAGTTACTGATAAATACATGAGAGTTTATTTTACACATGTTAATGAACAAGATGTATCTTTGTTTTCCCCCTTTATTTAACCAGGTAGAAGTCTTATTCAGATTAGAGTCTTTTGCAAGAGATACGTGACTGATAAGGCAGCGTTCAACATTGTTTATGTTTCTAAAAGTATGTAAAATAAAGAAAAAAACTGAATTAGGAGGAAAAACCGTGACGAAGAAAGTTTCAATGTGTTATTTTAAAGACAAATTCTTACAATATTTTTACTGATCATTTGAGACTGTTTGATTTTGGGCAGTGGAGAGTCGAAGAGCTGGTTAACATAATAGACATAAAATAGATTAACTTAAAACAACTTACAGGTTAATTTATAATAAGAATTCAATGCTTCGTATGTCCGTCATAGATAGCTGTAAAACCTGTAGTTATGGAAAACAATTTTGCACAAGCAAAAGGGAAAAAAAGAAAAGTAATGCTTGATGAAAGTAAAAAAAGTCAGATTTGAGTTTCTTTACTTAAAGGTCCAGTGTGTAACATTTTGGAGGATCTATTAAGTTGCTCTCAATGTAAAAACAGAACATAATAAATAATAAACAAAGACAAGAAGCTCAACTAATAACTAAACAGAAACTACAGATATATATGCACTGAAAGAAACTATATTTAAACAATCGACCACCAAACGATCAAACCAACATCACAGACTCTACTCTGCCACTTTCATTAACATGTTTACATATTTCAGATTAATCTTCCAATCCAGTCAATTAATTAATTGCTGGACACCATGTTTAGGAGAAAATGTGTCAACTGCGGTTTGTTTTCTGAACAAAGGAAGAGGGTCATGAGGTGAAGATTGGTACTTCCTGTAAGAATAGAGGACTCTCTAAAGCTAATTCTGTGTCAACCACAGTCCGTCATTTATATGCTAGTTTGGACAAATGTGGAGATTTCACAGGCAGGGAATTTACATAATATAATGCCCACATTCATTCTTTCTTAAGGTAGCTTTTCATTAAATTTTCTGATGGAGGTAGTTAAGGAAATATTATTTATTTTTCTATTTGTAACTGAGAAACAGAGCACCTGGGAAAATGGATGACTCTAGGAGTAACAAAGTGTATTCCCAAACACCACCCTGGAGTTCCTGTTTAACAGTTTTCCATGAGGGGTGAGAACACACACACTGCCTAAAACCTCACTTCCTGCCTTTGTCCCTCCTCTGTCTTTTTCTGAGCCGTTCCAGTGTCAATATGTAATAAATGTAAAATCTAAATTAAGTGCATTTCTTGAACCTGTTAAGTCTGTCACAACACTAAAATATGTTTCTAAAGGATATTTCTTGAATTGTGTGTTGTTAAATGTCTGCTGTGAGAAGGCAAAATTATAGTTGTTTTTTAAACCTTTGCCCAATAAAATTTATGGCCTCTAAAAGTAGAATAAAGAATCACTCTGGTTGAAGTAGTCACAACCAGCACTGAGTGTGAAATGTATGTGAACTAACATTAGTTGTAAGAATATAGCCGAGCGACAGATACAGGTGTAAATACTTGCAAGTAGAAAATATTTGTTATGTGATGCTGACAGTGGCGTGCGGGGGGGGGGTTGTCCCAGTTGTTGAAAAACATGCGCTAAAGTGCCCCCTTGGGAGCCAAAACTCGCTAAAGTGTCCTATTGGGAGGCAAAAACGCATGCTAAAGTGCCCTCTACAGTGGTGAGGACGCGCTATATGTGCCCTTTTTTTTCTTTCTGCCCCTGCCCTTCAAAAAGTCTGTGCACGCCACTGGATGCTGATTTAAATCTTACTGACCATTCAAATTTAAATGCAGAACACAGTGCCATTCAGTGGTCATAGCACGCAACTGCTATGTGCTGTTTGTGCGTGTGTGTGTGTGTGGGGGGGGGACTAACCAGTAAAGGGGTCTGCCAGGTAAGCCCATGGGGTCTATGAAGGCTCTCTCCAGATACATATCTCCTATCTGCAGAGGACTGACACACACAGTTGAAAAGTATATGTTTGCACTTCCAGTTAACTCACTCACTTAGAATTGGTCCTCAGCTGAGCAGACCACTGAATGCACTTGGTTAATACATATAAACCAAAATAAGAAACATTAAGAGATGAAATTGTTTATTAGATGAATGATAATGAACATGAAGCACCTGCATTACATTACTTACAATATACTTATATATGTGTGTATTGGTTTTACAGGGAAGGAAAGCTAAGCAGTCAAAAAGTGAATGTATTTAAAGATAATTCATATCAAAATGAATAGTGGAAGAAGTTCCAGTGTCTCCAGAATGCCACACAGTCTTTATGTAAGAGGATCTGCAGAGATATAAGAGACAGAACACACAGTGAAAGTTCAATTCAGCTTCTGTCAACATAGAAACATAAACAGTTGTCGGGTTACAAACCGCCACAATGGTCATCATCATGGCCAGACCTTTCATTCATAGCTGGAAATGATCAAATAAAGATCAAATTTAATAACAATCTTATGGCAGATTGGGCCTTAAATTAAACAACAGCTTACCTTGGCAGATGAAAGGTAGCTGCTCGTGGCAGCAGGCGTCCTGCCACTTGAGTTCTTCTGACCCGTTAATTGTGACCCAGATGATCTTTCCACAGTGGTTGTTTAAGCAGTCAACAGGAAAATTGCTACTCCACTGCTTGCAAGATTCTTGAACTTGTGGCCCTGAAGTCCACATCCAGGGGGGGGCTTTGCCAAAGATGGACCGCTCCAAGCCGATCCACGCCCCATTCTTCATGCTGTCATTCTTGTGTGCGAGGAGAGATTTCACTGCGTTCTGCACTGTCTGGTTGGTGATATGAACCAGGGAGGAATTTTCCCTTTCGTCCTGGCAGTACTCCAGGGCATCAATCCAGCTTTTGGCTTCCTGGTAGAACGTGAGACCTTCATCACCACCTTGAAAAAAAAAGGTTGACACTGACAGTTTGTGCGTATCCCCACATCCTCTGTCTCTCTGTTTCTAACGTATAACACTTTATATTAAGGTACACATATTCACCATTAACTAGTTGCTTATTAGCATGCATATTAGTTGCATATTGATTGTTAATTGAAGTTGTTCTATATGAATTATGATCTTAATGTAGTAGTCTTATGAGGTGGCAGTACCACAAGGATACTCATTCTGTCTGAATAACACTTATTCTTGTGCAACAAAACACAAAACTACAAGTGTTATTAGTGTCCAAATAACTCTAAATGAAGTCTTTATAACTCCGAAAATGTCCCCCAATCTAAAGTGAGGTCTTAAATCAGAACGAAATATTTCATTCTTCAGTATGGGCCAAATTCAAAAGACATTGAACTTTGTTTAATTTGAAGGTCTTGCTTAGTTATGATCTGTCTTTAAAATGGGAAACATATTCATATATTTGGTCTTAGATTTGTAGTTTTGTAGGTACAATTATTTTGTAAATAAAGATACTGTAAAAGAATGAATAAAGATAAGTTGTATTTTAAACATGAAATTAAGTCACTTGCCATTTGTTTCTGTACAGTTCCTCAGAGGGTACCCTGAGACAGCATTGCTTTTTCCTATTTCTAGGTGCAGCTCCTCACTTGATGAAAACAGGAAACATTTTCCTTTATCATTTTCCTTTCCTTTCCTTTATTTAGGGAAAAATAAATAAATTAAAACAAAATTATTGAATCCAATGTAGTGTAGTGATGTAGTGTTATATAGTGTGATGTCTGTGAACATAAATTAGCTGACACAAACATGTTGGCTCATTTTTTTTTTCTATGACCAGTAATCCACATAACAGATATTTACTTTGTATGAGATGTAAAGTATTTGCAGTTTTCATCTTCAGTACAGCATCTCCTACAGCCAGCTTTAGTTGTGCCTTCGATCTGTGTTTTTTTACCTTTGGAAAAATCCACACCATAGAAAAATGTCCGTATACAACCTGTTAAAAAAAACAAGAATCCAGAAAAAAACATAATATAGTTTGTGTACAGACAGATTTAAATAATTTCCTAATTCAGTCATTTCCTCTAAGTCTTCTCAATAAATCATTTTCTCCTTAAAATATGTAGAAGAAGTAGCGCTCACATCTTGTCAGGCCTCGTATCAGGATTAAAGTGAGCAAATTATATTTTTCTTAAGATATATAAAGACATATAAGACAAAGATATTTTAAACATTGAAGGATCCTCTCAGCAGTAACTAATGCTGCTCCTCTGATAAGCTTCATTTTAAAAACTGGGTACTGGTTAAGTTAAAAACAATGTTCTGATTTGATTGTGGAAAAAACACACAAAAGGATTAAAGTGCTCACCTCTTGTTACGTTCAGATACAGGACTGGAACCTCCTTTTTGTTACCATAGCAGACGAAGTTACAGTTGAGTTTTGGTTTGTTAATGGTCAGAGTCTTGTCGTTCAGGAGGTTGGAGGACTTGCCCGGTGTATTGTCAATAACAGTGTCACCCAAGACACTTTTGGAACAACTTTTAACTTTCCCTCCTCCAGTAAATTTAAAAGTGATTCCCTCTCGGAGCCATATCTGTGTTGCTGAAAACCCCAAAGGCAGCTGGATTGTTGCTGTAACATGAGGGAAACAGATGAGGAAATATTTACATTTGATAGAAAATATTGTAAATATTTGTTTTAATAATAATTTAATAATAATAATTTTTATAATAAAAAGCATTTTTATTTATTTATAAGAACAATAAAACACTCCAGTGATATAAACAGTGATTAGACAAAGGTAAAAATAATTATCTTGGTGAGATCTCCATTAATGTTTCTGAAGACAACTTACCCAGCAGCAGTGACAGATGGATGAACTGTGCCATGGCCACTAGAACTAAAGAAAGAAAGTTTGAGGAGTCGGTGTAATATCGCTTTGGCAATCAGAAACACTTCAGTTTATTGTAGTTGTCTCCCACCAATACACTGCATGGAACTTGCAGCAGCGAATGTAATATACAGTTTGTTAAGTACAATTATTTACAGCGTGTAAAACACACTGAAATCAAGTAGCTATACAGGATAAAACACAAAAATGACAGCACCAGGTGTGAATCTATCAAAAACTTACCCGACTGAGGAGGACTCCTCACTCTCCACAATGTGTTAGGAGGGTAGTTACATCACTTTATAGAGCTGCTGACCCTCTCCGCCTTTTGACCAAAGAAACACACCCACACCAGGGTGCTCATTTATTTTAAAGGGATAAAGACTTTTAATGTGATGTCTAGAGGCACTGTGGATGGTATGCACTGTGACATATGGGCTTGTCTGTACATGTATTAATAGGTTACTAGTGTGAGGACAATCAGTCTAACTCTAATTGAAACTTTAGTATCCCTGTCTATCAACTCCTCTTTAAGGTAAAAAAAAAGAAAACATACATAATGATATTGTTATGATATTAGATGGTAAATATATTCCCACAGGTTTGACAAAGCAAACTGACAGCACATCCTTAAACAATAAAACACTTCAACGTGTGTCTCAAGTTCAGTTTCACTTCAGGTGTTTATGACCAGAGGAGTCCATTTAAAACAGCTGTCTCCATTAATACAACATTTTAGGGAATGTTTTGCTGTCTCACTTGCTCCCTAATTAAACACGGAGTACTGTGTTTGATGTGTTCATATTAGTTCTTATTAGTTTGACCGTATTCGCAAAATATTACAGTATTGATTGAAGCTTATGATTCGCAAAACACATTCATGTATGTTAGTTTTTGTGTTGTTTTTGTGTAATGCTCCTTGGAAACACTGTTCTCCCACTGTGCTGCATGTTTACAACAGGGAAGGTCAACCCATATTTAAATTAAATAAAAGAGGTCTCTGTGTCCATCCAAGAACAATGAACAGTAACATCCCTTTTACACAAAACACATGTAAATCCATGGTCAGAAGCCTAACAAAGTCTGTGTCTAGTCATATGAGATGCAAATATCTTTGAAAGATGCACGTATTGTAAGCATGTAAATGTATTGTGTTATGTAAGCAGCATGCGTGAGAAAATGCTTCTTTTGTTGTAGGTGCAATGTTGAACAGGAAAGCTGATGAATTACCGGTTCATTCAGCCTTCACCCAGAGGTGGGAAGTAGGCATTACTCAGTAGCAAGTGTAACTTTGAATTACTGATACATACATGAGACTGTCTTTACTCAAGTGGCCTTTAGGAAATACTATACTTTAAGAACAAGATGTATATTTTATGCATAAAAAGACAGAGACCCAAACTTCTGTCAGGCTGAGGAGGTGAGCAATAGTCTAGTGAACCTGACTGATGCAAAGCTGGAGGTTTCTACTGGAGAAGGCCGAGCCGTTCACATGGACACACACGCAGGGTCAACAACACGTTGCTGCCTAAAACCTCACTTCCTGCTTTTGTCTGTCCGTCTTTTTTGTTGTTCAACACTGAAATACTGTGTCTGAAGGATATGTACCGTATATTTTATTAAGTTATATTATTGCCTTAAACCTTCTGTGAGCTGGAGTGGATTAGCATCTAATTGTCTGTTCTGTCACTTGATTCACTGTCCAACTGTGGAACTGAAATGTCACAAAGTAATTTTCACTGCTATATATTCTGTCTCTCATCCCCTGCCGTACAGTACGCTTATTTTAGTCTTTTTGTGGTATTTCTTGGTCATGTGGAAAAGTACTTTGCCTTTAAGGAAAGTAATTTATTATAAATATCAACATGAAGGTAAAGAAAACTTAAAACTTAAAAACTGCCAAATGTGTCATGGACAAGATATCAGTTGTTTTCTGCTCACATGGGTAAATTGATTTTATTTGCCCCCCTTGTGGCTAGTGGCTATTATTACAATCAAGAAAAAAAAAAACAGACAAGAAAATGTTAAAAACATAAATTATTTCTTTACTGTTGCAACATAACAAAAAAACAACAGTTTTCTAACTTCGGATTTGGAGATTCATTCTTCCCACAGGCTGGTTCAGAAAACAGGGATCGTTCATTTCTGTGCATGTTGCAGGCGGTGTATTCCCTCTCTTCACATTCTGGTGTTAAAATCTTCAATAGCCAGCTCAGTCACGTGGCTTTAGACTGTTTGTATGTGCTTCATGCAGGTGGTGTTAGGGTCATGGCAGCAGCATGAACGGTAAATGCTGCGATGCTGATTTGACGCTTCACTTCCTCCCAGGCTTTCTCTGGGTCAGCTGAGTTCTGGATGTCAAACAATGCATCATAGATACCAGGGAAAGACTCTCCTGCATATTTATTATGGCTGCTGGGAGCAAATATTACATGCCTGAAACAGAGAAGAGTGAGTGTTGTGTTAACGAGTGTTATTGGAGGTATTGCAGATCTTTCTATGGTATCTTTACAACAAGGTCAAATGGGTTGAGAGTAAATGTAAAAAAACTGAAATCCAGTCAGTGCTGGAGTATCTTGGACTTGAGATGTTTATTTCTATTATTGTAGACTCGTTGGACTTGTCTCGGACCTGGTCATTGGTCTCACCAAATATTCTATCCTATCCTGCAATATATGTTTATTGTTTATTTCTTCTGAATTAACTTCTTCCTTCAAAACAAAACCACTGATGAAGCTTGTACAGAAAACGCTTATTGGTTTCATTCAAACTTTAGAACGGGTGTTGAAAATCAATTTCACTTGCAATCGCATGCCTGACTGCCAAAACTGATCTCATTGGCAATGACAAAAGCATTATTTTGTTCTGTCTCAGTCTTGATTCGTTCTCAACTAGTCCTGGTCCTGTACTCAAGCCCTGCTTGGACTATAGCACAGATGATTCCCATTTGATTTTAATTTTTTTCAATTAGACGTGGAAACATTTATACAAAACCATAAAAAGCTTTGATGTGTATCTGGAGCCAGTGTAAGAATTACACAGTCAAACTTGTGTCACCATCTGAAGTAAACCAAGACCATAATGTTAATGTTATCCGTGTCTTTAACTTCGCCTCTCATATGATAAACAAGCGTGTCCCATAGTCAGCTGCAAAAACTAGACCTGCTGATACAGTAATGATAACTGGCATTCAATAAATGAAAAATCTTTGCCCAATTGTTCAGTGAGTAATTTTTCATTTTATAGCCTCTAAAAGTAGAATAAAGAAAAAAAGAATCATTTGTTGAACTAGTCACAAAAAACAGACATTATTCAACCAAAGTCAAATACAGAGCACAGTGCCATTTAGTGGTCATGGTACGCAGGTGCTTCACTGCTTGATGGGACTTCTGTAAGAGCATGTAAACCAAATGGAAATTGTGTGTCTGAGTGAGTCTGTGTGTGATATTTACCTGTAGAAAGGTCTGCCAGGTAAGCCCAGGGGGTCAATGAAGGCTCTCTCCAGATACATGAGCTGATCATTCATGATCCGCACCTGCAGAGGACTGACATACACACACACACACACACACACACACACACACACACACACATACAGAATTGCGTTTTACACACACTTAACTAGACTGAACATGCCCTGAATGGACATTGGCCAGTGGACATTGTTTGATATACTTGAACCATCTCTTTTAATCCAGTACAACTGTTATTATATAGACCTACATAATCTACTTTTATGATCTTGATAATGTTTTTGTTGTCACTCTCACATTGGTGTTTAAATTAACATTACTAATAAAATTATATGTTTAAGCATTGAGGTCATAGATAGTGGTGGTGTTGTACTATACTGTGTAACATCTGTCTGGAGTTGGAGTCTGTCAATGAGTTCAAAGCATATATAAACTAGAGTATACAATGAACATTTGTTTGGACACCTAAAATGTATGAAATGTTTAAAATCACTCTTACTCTGCTCTGTCAAGAGTCTGTAGGCACTCATGTAAATCCCTGGCTGCAACTGTGAAGTTTTCCACAGCAGAAAACAAGGAGTCTGAAAATACAGGAAACAAGAAATGTCAAATGCAGAGACACTCTTGGAAAAGTCAGCAGGTTGGCAGCACATGGACCACAAAGTGACCAACATAAACTCACCAAACGACACCTCATACATCTTCATCTCCTCTGGGTGCTTTTGTGCCAGCTGTGTGATGCTCTGTGCGTACTTCCTAAGTGAGTCTGCATACTGGTTGACATCGAGAGGAAGGAGCTGGGAATCAGCCAATAGGAAGATGAGCCCACCTCTCACCTGGGCCACCGCCTGAAGCCTCTTAAAGGAAGGGTCGTAAAACTTCTCCACTATCTCGAAGGTTTCATACACACTGTGATAGACTGGATAACTGCTGTACCGCTCTGTTTTCTGAATGCACACAGATACACAGAGGACACAGACTTACATTGAGTCCATGGAGGTCCACAGTATCCTTTACCACAAGGTTGCTTTCTACACCTTCTACTTATGCTCTAACCTTAGTACAACTGAAATAATGGTGTCCCTGATTAAACAGGCAACTTGGTTAAGTGTAAATACACACAAGACAAAATAAGAACTGTAATGAGAGTAATTGTCCACATATGCACAGGCTTGCGCATAACAACATCTACAATAAAAGATAGTATTTTGAGATTCACAGGGATCATAAAATGCCACTTATTGTACTCTTTGTGTAGCTGAATATATTCAAGTCAAAACATAGTTAACCTAATAGCATGGATATGCACTGCATTGTACACTCACAATACAGACAGACAGACAGACACACAGACACACACACACACACAGATATAATTAAGCAAATACAGGAATATACCTTCATATTAATAACAATGAATAATGTTTATGCCGATAAATCAGTAAGTGCAGCATTTCTCACCTTGTTCTTGGTGTATCTTGCTCTGCCTGCAGCAATTCCCAGACGGATAAAATAGGCCTCAAAATCACTGCCTGACCCGAGTTTACTGATCCTATAGTACACAAAAGTGGACGACAGACTGATTCAGTGATTTCGGTTAATTACTGTAATTACTTGATGCTTTGTTTAATTCATTAGCGAAGACTGACATTCTGACAAACTGACAGATTTCACATGCAAAACACACGGCCACATAGAAACACAAGATGGAGATTAAAGATAGAGTTAAAGGTTTTAAATAGTATTCACATAGTGTGTCCAAACTGCATTATTTCTCAACAATTAGTCATTCTCAGCTGTGACCTGGTTGTCTTTTCTCTCTTTTCAGCCTCTTGTTGTTTTGTCCTTTACTAACATCTGATTGACACATTGCTACTGTGGTTGCTGAAGTTTTGTTTCTCTTTAACTTTGTGTATTTTACTGTTTTGGTTTTGTGGTTAGTATGTGCACACTCTGGCTCTGAGCAAAACATGGCTTTGTACCTGGGTGCATCACGGTCATTTGTCCAGTTATCTCTCTTATGCCAACTCTCGTACAGAGAAACTCCCTCCTCTCCGTCTTCTGGACTGGCTATCTACAGAAAAGAAAGAGAAAGAGACAAGGAGGGGCAGGAATAAAACATAAGAGTGAGCATGAAAGACAACATTACTCAAGTCTATTTCAGATGTACCTCTGCTCACCTGCTTAGTGAGGTCATACACCAAAGTGTGTAGAGAGGGAGTGCAGTCAACCCTCAGTGTGTACATGCCTGGAATCCAAAAGAGCGGAATCAAAACTAATTCAACCTCAACATTGTCTATAATATATTAAGCTGTACTCAAACACACTCACCCTCAATGGCAGAGTCAGCATTAATGTAGGCCACAGCTCTCTCCTGCAGCAGCTTGGTGTTATCCTGTTAATAAGGGGGAAGTGTGGTCAGTGTTTGTGCGTCCGTGTGTGTGTGTGTGTAAATGTGTTAGGGTGTATGGGTTGGTGTATGTATACCTCAGCCCATTCTGTAGATCCCACTAATCCAAACTCCTCTGCATCCCAGCTGGCAAATATTATTGTCCTCCTAGGCCTCCAACCTACACACACACAAACACACACATGCACACACACACACACACACACACACACACACACACACACACACACACACACACACACATTCTTGTCACTGTGGCATTGTAAGGACACCAGACCAGAACATGAATTCTGGGAACCACCCTTTCTGAGGACACATAAACACACACTCACTGACTACTGATACCTGTATTCACTCAATCACACACTTGCAGTGATGTACCTTTACTGAGCAACTTGCCAGCACTCCTCACAGTTTCATGGACCACTGCAGCACCAGACATGGGATCAATTCCTCCAAACACCCAGGCATCCCGGTGCCCTCCTAGAATCACATATCTGTCTACACACACACACACACACACACACACACACACACACACACACACACACACACACAGACACACACAGACACACACACTTAAGAGACTGATACAGATTGATTACAGAAACAGAATGCTGCTAAAGTTTTGTTTTTCTGAAATCAATGTTTCTTGCACAAATACTTTAAACATTTTATGACCAAAAGGCATTTGGTTATTATGTCCTCCTATTTTAACCTGTGTTGGTTGTGGGTAAAATGTTGCTCAAAACTTTAATGAAGGACTAGAGCCCGTCTGGCTGTACCTGGCTCTAGAGCTCCTCTGATCCTGCCAATGACGTTGTAGATCCTGGTTACCTGGTTGTCAGTGTGGATGTTCATACGCACCTTCCTGAAACAGACAGATTAAGGAAGGGGTGACACACAAGAAGATATACAGAGACAAACAAACAGACCAAGGAGAAACAAAAATGTGTAGCAAAATAATTGTGTTTTTCAGTTTGTTTTGATATTGTACAACAGTCTCAGAAACATGTTCAT